TATTTAGAAATTGCCGTCTATAAATGTAATCAATCTGCATCCTCATGATCCAGGAGGGCAAATAAAATCTGTATTTATAGTTTCCAAACAGAGAACTGCCCAAGACAAGCATGGGAACTAGTTAATCTTTCAACAGAGATTTCCTCTGCATACACAATACATACATGCCATTTACGTGTTATTTGTAAGAATAATCACAGCATATTGGAGCTCCTGGTATCTGTTTCTGATCTTGTAAATAATTTCTTTTAACAGTTTAGTTTCCTTGTCTTTTAAGAGGAAGTTAGTCCTACACTGTCACGAAAGACATTTTCATGTTTGTTTTAGGAAAGGAGTGATATTGAGAGTAGATAAGGAAAGGTGACACAGGCAAGGGGTTGGTGGGTGGGTCTTGTCCTGTTAATGTCCATAATGTTTTGTGGAAAATCACAAATTTGTGCAGTTGTATTATGTGACAGGAAGTCTTTTTGTGTCTTTGTCTTTCATGCTCATGTGGGAACAAAGAGATTTCCTCTGCATACACAATACATACATGCCACTTTACGTGTCAATTATTTATAAGAGTAATCACAGCATATTGGAGCTTCTGGTATCTGTTTCTGATCTTGTAAATAATTTCTTTTTAATTGTTAAATTTCCTTGTCTTTTAAGAGGAAGTAAGTCCTACACTGTCACGAAAGACATTTTCATGTTTGATTTATGAAAGGAGTGATATTGAGAGTAGATAAGGAAAGGTGACACAGGCAAGGGGTTGGTGGGTGGGTCTTGTCCTGTTAATGTTTTGTGGAAAATCACAAATTTGTGGAGTTGTATTATGTGACAGGATGTCTATTTATGTCTTTGTCTTTCATACTCATGTGGGAACAAAATTAAGACAGCAGCTGTTACTCTTTATGTCAGAAGTGATATTTGACATTTATCAGATTAAAATCTCAGGGTTAAATTCATATTTTCTTGAATAGACTGCAGTGTATCGTGTTAGTACTGGATCATTTATTTCCATTTTTGTGTTTGGCATTTCTTGTACAAATAATTTTTCTTGTGGCATTTTACCTCAGTCGAAGATAGTATTGACACCAATATCAGTATTACCTGCACTTATCATGGAGCTAATGATGTTTTGGAAATCTATTGAAAATGTTACTATAATAAGGCCTAAAATATACATATGTTGTGATTCCATCTATTTTCATTTTCAAATTTCCGTCACAACCATTGAAAAGCAAATCAACAATCAACAGTCTTCTTGCAAATCAAGTTGAGACTGATGTAAAAGATAAATTTTTACATAATTAGTAAAACAGAATTTCCAAACGAAACACTCAAAATGTATTTCAAGCATTTCTTCGATCCAAATTCCCAATGTGAACTGTTGAATCGCAGGTGTGAGATATTTCGTGTAGTGTTTTCCCTCCAACTCCTGATTGTGTTTGACTTCTGCCAGTCAATACAAAGCCTGTTAGGTCAACACAGGTCGTGGTGTATGCTCCGGAGTCAACACTGTTGGATGAGGAAGCTAGTTGTTCGACAACTAGGTAACATGATTGTGACAACAGTGGACATGCTTGTCAAGTACTTCTGAATGTCTTGAGGCTTTTTTAATCCCATTGCTTGTAATTAGAGGGGGCATGTCAGATCTGAACCCTAAAGCAATATGGATCTTACTGTGGTATTTGTTGAAATAAAACCTGTTTTCTGAAATACACTTGCATCTATCCAGGAACACAATAAGTCAATAAGTGTTAACGTTATCTTGTGTATGAGATGCCCTTTTCTGGTCTCACTCACTCACTCACTCACTCACTCACTCACTCACTCACTCACTCACTCACTCACTCACTCACTCACTCACTCACTCACTCACTCACTCACTCACTCACTCACTCACTTCCTTGCTGTGGTACATAAGTGATATTATTTTAAAGTGGCTGTTTATATAACCAATCTCCCTCACTGAGTAGATAGGTGTACGTACAATGTATTACATCTTCGAGCAGGTTAATGTCAAAACATCATTGGCTTGGGTAGAGTTACTCTGGGGATGACAATGCCATTCCTCAACAGCACTTAATGGAAGGTGATTTGTAGCTATAGGATAACAGTTGCGTATTAGGACAAGTTAGTTGATCGTAGTGATAATGTTACTTTCAGCTACACTGTCTGGTGTCAAGGAGCGGTCATGTCACTACTGGCAGATTAGCTTACTTCTGTGTACTGGGCAGGCAATTCTATATGGAGGCTTGGTGACAATCTCCAGGATCTATGTCATTTTTCGAAATCCTTGTGACCATTCAAGTGGAAAGGAAGTTATAGAGAAAATTGTAAATGAGAAGATGAAAGAGAATTTCTGCTTCATGATTAGGGCTATCAAAGAACCTGTGCACCTTTATGGTAAATTTATACATTATACCAGCCATTTAGCTAGGATTTTAATCAAAGTGCCATTGGCAGGCAAATTGGGAAAAAATGGTATTTTAACATTTCATTGAATGCAATTATGTGAAACTAATTGTAAAATGAAAGGGAGTGTGTGTTTCAATTGGATTTGTTGAAAAACGGTAAACAGGATTTGGTTGGGAAATCTGCTGGAATTTCTCTGCACCTGAATACTCTCCTGTATCAGTACCTATTTTTTTGTTGATCCTTATTTGAAAAAACATGTCTAGCATGTTTAGGCTTGGCAAAATGGATACTGCGTTAATTATATATTAATTTTAATCAATATCTATCAGAACAACTTCCATTTAGTTTTTTTTTACTCTGCATTGTGCTAACCATGCATATTCTGTTGTCATGGAAACATGAAATCATCCACTGTATAATTGTAGCATTCCAGAGTTACATACAGTCTGCCTCTGTGAAAGTTGTCATTGACATGGTAGAAAGAAATTTCCATGGAAAATTAATAATTAGTTTTCATTTTTCATTGTCGATAAACATTATTTGTTTTCAGATTTGTGGGTATTACAGAGTATTAGATGGGCAGATATTGTACCATTTGAAACCTATGGCTCATGACATTGTCAGTTCAAAAAGGATTTAGGTGCATCAAATAAACAAAAATTCCTTAAATCTGAAAAAACATTTTTCTTTGAACATGACAAAGTATCAACACCTTCTTCTCTTTATTTGCCAAGTTATCAGTGAATTACAAAGCACCTTTTCAAACACGCTTAGATAAATCCATGGAAACCCAAACAAAATGTTTTGATACATATGATTTCAAAAATAAGGTTTATAAATGTAATGTAAACTGGTATTGATAAGTTCCATAAATAAATAGCAATGCAATACAGCTGTGATGAAATATTTATCAACTTCTATAAATTGACTAGCTTAGACAAGATTTCAGCGTATTTGATCAACAGCTTGGAAACGTTGATGTTGCTAACGGCTGTCTTAGTGCCAGATGTTGAAACCTGGACAAAGTATTGCACCTACTACTCCGCGATATTGATAGTGATAGTCACAATGACCATAAAGCAGACAATAGACATTGTTAAACTGGGACCGGTATGTTGAGGGGTTGTATATTAACTGTTAGCTTCTGGCAACAAGGAAGTGTTTATGAACCCGCTCTTATCGGCCGATGCTTCCTTGCTCCTGATTCGTCAAATTCGAATTTTGACTTCGACCCAAACTGTATTATGCCCCTGTGTGTCGGTGGTAATTTTGTTTTGAAGTTTGAATAAGAATCAATATGTTTTGTATACCGTATTTTTCTGTATCAAACGACCTGCTTTGATAAGAGATCCCTAACCAACTATGGTACACTGATCTGCATCTTACCTTGAGTGACTCAACCTTAGTCTGAAATTATCAAATATCGGTAGACACAGACAATGTTGCAAATACAGGTTTTTAATTTTCTACTCATAGTCTGTTGAACCAATTGCTGAAACTGTTCTCAACCTTTATGAAATATAATTAGATACGTTGCATTTATACAAACTGATAAACATAAGCAAAGCTGCTTATTTTGTTGAAGATGAAAGAGTGTTGAAATCTAGTCACCAGTTTCATATTTCTCAGTTAGCCCTTGTATATGCCTGAAATATTTGGATATCAATGCCGACAGCAACTTTTGAGTGGCTTTCTTGGTTGACATTAAACTGTGGACTACGTATCCAGGTGAGCTACAGTGCTGTGGCACTATCTGTCTGAGCACCTGGGCCTCTTGGTGCTGTGATCATGGTAGTTGGGTTGAAGTTGGCCTCTCACAACTAGACTTCTGTCATGTGGGACAGGGACCACCTCCATAGTCTAGTGGTAGAGCGTCCGCCCGGAGAGCGGAAGGTCCGGGGTTTGATCCCCGACTGCGTCATACCAAAAGACGTTAAAAGATGGTACTTGTTGTTACCCTGTCTGGCGCTCGGCATTAACATGATTAAGGGGATAAAACAAGGACTGGTCGGCTCGGAGTCAGTATACTGTGTCTGAGTGGGGTATTCATGTTAAACCGGGGCATGGTATCTCAGTGAGCTAGCACTATAAATCGGCATCAGTCCGGACTTGTACAAGCAGCCACACAAACACACACGTGCATGCACGTCGCTATATAAGTGCAATAATCTTGGACGCGACGTTAAACCCCATTTTACCTCACCTCATGTGGGACAGTCGTCTGTAATGGGGTACTGGGATGGAGATGTTACCAAGGTTACACTGTGTCAGTTTGTATAAGTAAATAAGTAAAATATAATGATTTCACTGACTGCTTACCTAATCATTAACAACAAAACTGTATAAAATATAAAATGATACAAAATCAATAGCATCATTCGGTACGACAGTGCAGCAAAAGCCATTGTTTTTTTTGAGGGAACAGTAGTCTGCTCGGCGTTGTGGACTAATTTATATTTTGTTTCATGGAAACATATGAGCCTAAACAAATGGCAAGGTATCTCTTCCAAGTTGTTAAGAAATGTATATGAACATGAGTACATGTTATTTTCATTCTGTGTTATCATGGTTATGTATTTCCATCTGTTTCTTTTCAGATATATCCCAAGTTGTGAAAGGAAACCTTCCAGAGGAAATGAAAGAATGGAAAAATGTGAGTACCTGTTTGTAGTTTTTGTGGAAATGTTGTGGTATAAATGTTGCCATTTGAAGAGGGAAGTAGATCGTGTGCAGGAGTCTTGGAGACATCGTCATACAGATGTAACAATTATATTCTTTCTTTACACCTGGAATTCCTCAAGGTAGTCTTGGCCCCTAGTATTCTTCCCTCTTCATAAGAGATTCCCCAGGGAAGGTATATTCAAGTATGCAATTTGTTAAAAAAATTTTGGATCAGAATAGCACCTAGTAGTGCCATGGCCTCCAGATGCAATTCTCATGCTGAAATATATTATACCTATACAATCACAAACCAGGGCAAGTGTCTCCTGCCCATGGACGAGTATAACCACCACTTTACCTGGTAACCATAGTAACGGCATACTCACACTATTGACCACTCATAAAAGGGCATTTCTGATTAATTTAATGTTGCTGACTACTCGATTGTTGCCTACTAATGGAGTGTTGCTGACTAATGGAGTATTGCTGACTAATGGATTGTTGCTGACTAATGGATTGTTGCTGACTAATGGAGTGTTGCTGACTAATGGAATGTTGCTGGCTAATGGATTGTTGCTGACTAATGGATTGTTGCTGACTAATGGAGTATTGTTGCTGACTAATGGATTGTTGCTGACTAATGAAATATTGCAGACCATGGTGTAAACTAGTCCCTGTTTCCCCAAACAATCCCAGCACTATCTTAGTCAACGTTAAGATACATGAGAGCTTTAGCCACCATGATATTGCTAAGATGCTACTTGACGCAACTACTTAACCTGAAGACATCTGAATGTGACAGGAAAGACAGATGAAATGATAAATAGAGCAACACATATTCTCCGAGAAATCCTGCTTCCAAATCAATGATGGACAAGTATCTATTCATTGATCAGTTACACTAGCTGTATGTGACGGAAGTTGACAACACATATAGAATGGTATTGATTCTGAATATGGCGGTCGCACGCCAAGCCCGATTAGGTTTCAACAATGCGACACACTGTTCAGTGGTGTGGGAACTGGGTGACAATTCCCACTTCACTGAACACCTCATCACCTCCATCAGACAAGAACTCTCCTGTAGTGGAGGAAATCATAGACCTAATGTCTGGCGAGCAGTTTAATGAGTGGCAATAAAAAGTGTTTTGAGATTATTTCCATAATCATGACAATGGTACACGTCTAAGGGATACATGTGTTTCTATATCATGAGAAAGGTAGTGTTTTTTATGAGACCTTGTAGAGTGCAGGGGGGCACGGGCGGCCCAGTCGTTTAAGGCGCCTGAATTCGCTGTGCAGAGTTGCGTCCCTTAGGCACGCCAGAAATCTATGATTGTGGGTTCGAATCCCGGTTCGCCCTGATTATGTTTCTAGGTTTGTCAGCACCATACCCGTGCTCGTGGGTTTCACCGAAGTGGTAATCGTCTGAGACCTGCATCACTTCTGGCTTTCCTCCCACATTAAGCTGACACGCCGTGATATAACTGGAATACAGTTAAAAGCGGCGTTAAACCCAACTCACTCACTTGTAGAGTGCAGGATTTTTGCATTGTTTAAGGCAGAAGGCTAGTGGTGAAGGTTCTCTCACTACGCAATGTCGGTTTGGTGGGTAGGGGTTTAATCTCATTAAAATCAGATCTTAGTTCTCACTACCGCTAATCAAAGATCTGAACGCCAGAACGACCTTTCATCCCACCAATCAAAGCGTCGCTTACCAGATCATGAAAGTGAGAATGTGATTTCTAATCATGCAACCTCGAAAAACTTTGACACAGGGTATTCCGAACGATAGTTATGGGCTTAACGTCTGAATCCATACAATCTAGACCATCTATGAGCCATTCCAGAATGTTCTTTTGTTCAGATTTAAAATTTTTAATCGAGAATTTGTCAAAATATGTTTTTAAAGTGTCAGATTAAAGTAAGAGATCTAGTTTTAATGAGAGTGTCATATTACCTTTTATTGTAGACCCCAGGATAGATCACCCATTTAATAAACACAGTTGTATTAAACATTGTGTAATAGCAAAACGTGCTTATGTACTGCAGGAACAAGTTTCACTAACGTATACTGAAAACTCCCAACACCTCTCTACTAATTCAGTGACATTGTGTGTAGAGATGATAGATCACTGAGAGGAGCATATGCGCACTTGATGACTTGCTAGGCTGACGTCACATGGCATTATTTCGCTGGTGGATCTTGCAAGAAAATTCCACAAATTGTTATCTTGGTTCCACAAGGCGATCGTAGCGCATGACAGTCGTATGTCTATGTAAAAGTATGGGAGTTGCGATAACCTTAGCGCTGCAATCATGGCAATAGTTTGGTGGAACGGACCCCTGAATTCTAATGGTGGGCCATAATATGGTATTAAATAAATACATGTCAACTTTTGAAGTGTGTAATGTATTATTCTGTTAAACTCAAATGAATGATGCTGTGGATTGCATAGATGTCTGCCTATTCACATACAACAGTATGACAAATATTTTTATAAATGGCAAGGAATAAATAAAGTACTAAACTCGCTCGTTTAGTATTCTATATACCGCTATATATTTCAGAATTGAAGAGAAGTCTTAAAGAGAGTATGTAGGTGTTATGGGTGGAAAATTTGTCATTAACCTTTAGCTATTCTATTATTGTACATTGTGATGTTTCATGTAAATCTTTATTCATTTGAAACATGACTTTCAATCAGATTTCATCGGATTTATGATGATTAACAATTAAATGCAAACAAATCCAAGAAGATGGGCAACTGAAACAGAAGTGTAAAGTACAACCTTGAGGCTAAAAATTCTGCAAAGATGGGCACAAAGGGATTGTTTTGTCATTCCATTCTGTGCTGTTTAAGGTTTTTCTTTTTAAAAAAAAACCCTTTGGGACCTGGGTAAGAAAGGGTTCCAGCACACTACTGTATCAGGTGGTAAGGCTAGGTGACTTGGATGATTGGACCGCCTCCATGGTCTAGTGGTAGAGCGTCTGACCAGAGAGCAGAAGGTTGGGGGTCCGTACTGTGTCTGAGTGTGGTGTTGATGACTCAGTCCGGACTAGTACAGACAGACAGACACACAGACAGACGCGCACCGCTACGTTAAACGCCATTACAACTCACCTTAGTTGATTGTGTGTCTATGTATCTGACAGGTGTACTAGTACAGACAGACAGACAGACAGACGCGCACCGCTCTGTTAAACGCCATTACAACTCACCTTAGTTGATTGTGTGTCTATGTATCTGACAGGTGTACTAGTACAGACAGACAGACAGACAGATAGACGCGCACCGCTACGTTAAACGCCATTACAACTCACCTTAGTTGATTGTGTGTCTATGTATCTGACAGGTGTACTAGTACAGACAGACAGACAGACAGACGCGCACCGCTACGTTAAACGCCGTTACAACTCACCTTAGTTTTTTGTATGTCTATGTATCTGACAGGTGTACTAGTACAGACAGACAGACAGACAGACAGACGCGCACCGCTACGTTAAACGCCATTACAACTCACCTTAGTTGATTGTGTGTCCTTGTATCTGACAGGTGTACTAGTACAGACAGACAGACAGACGCGCACCGCTACGTTAAACGGCATTACAACTCACCTTAGTTGATTTTGTGTCTATGTATCTCACAGGTGTACTAGTACAGACAGACAGACAGACAGACAGACGCGCACAACTACGTTAAATGCCATAACAACTCACCTTAGTTGATTGTGTGTCTATGTATCTGACAGGTGTACAAGTACAGACAGACAGACAGATAGACAGACAGACAGACACACAGACAGACAGACGCGCACCGCTACATTAAACGCCATTACAACTCACCTTAGTTTTTTGTATGTCTATGTATCTGACAGGTGTACTAGTACAGACAGACAGACAGACAGACAGACGCGCACCGCTACGTTAAACGCCATTACAACTCACCTTAGTTGATTGTGTGTCCTTGTATCTGACAGGTGTACTAGTACAGACAGACAGACAGACGCGCACCGCTACGTTAAACGGCATTACAACTCACCTTAGTTGATTTTGTGTCTATGTATCTCACAGGTGTACTAGTACAGACAGACAGACAGACAGACAGACGCGCACAACTACGTTAAATGCCATAACAACTCACCTTAGTTGATTGTGTGTCTATGTATCTGACAGGTGTACAAGTACAGACAGACAGACAGATAGACAGACAGACAGACACACAGACAGACAGACGCGCACCGCTACATTAAACGCCATTACAACTCACCTTAGTTGATTGTGTGTCTAGGTATCTGACAGGTGTACTAGTACAGACAGACAGACAGACAGACGCGCACCGCTACGTTAAACGCCATTACAACTCACCTTAGTTGATTGTGTGTCTATGTATCTGACAGGTGTACTAGTACAGACAGACAGACAGACAGACGCGCACTGCTACGTTAAACGCCATTACACCTCACCTTAGTTGATTGTGTGTCTATGTATCTGACAGGTGTACTAGTACAGACAGACAGACAGACAGACGCGCACTGCTACGTTAAACGCCATTAAACCTCACCTTAGTTGATTGTGTGTCTATGTATCTGACAGGTGTACTAGTACAGACAGACAGACAGACAGACAGACGCGCACCGCTACGTTAAACGCCATTACAACTCACCTTAGTTGATTGTGTGTCCTTGTATCTGACAGGTGTACTAGTACAGACAGACAGACAGACGCGCACCGCTACGTTAAACGGCATTACAACTCACCTTAGTTGATTTTGTGTCTATGTATCTCACAGGTGTACTAGTACAGACAGACAGACAGACAGACAGACGCGCACAACTACGTTAAATGCCATAACAACTCACCTTAGTTGATTGTGTGTCTATGTATCTGACAGGTGTACAAGTACAGACAGACAGACAGATAGACAGACAGACAGACACACAGACAGACAGACGCGCACCGCTACATTAAACGCCATTACAACTCACCTTAGTTGATTGTGTGTCTAGGTATCTGACAGGTGTACTAGTACAGACAGACAGACAGACAGACGCGCACCGCTACGTTAAACGCCATTACAACTCACCTTAGTTGATTGTGTGTCTATGTATCTGACAGGTGTACTAGTACAGACAGACAGACAGACAGACGCGCACTGCTACGTTAAACGCCGTTACACCTCACCTTAGTTGATTGTGTGTCTATGTATCTGACAGGTGTACTAGTACAGACAGACAGACAGACGCGCACTGCTACGTTAAACGCCATTACACCTCACCTTAGTTGATTGTGTGTCTATGTATCTGACAGGTGTACTAGTACAGACAGACAGACAGACAGACGCGCACTGCTACGTTAAACGCCATTACAACTCACCTTAGTTGATTGTGTGTCTATGTATCTGACAGGTGTACTAGTACAGACAGACAGACAGACGCGCACTGCTACGTTAAACGCCATTACACCTCACCTTAGTTGATTGTGTGTCTATGTATCTGACAGGTGTACTAGTACAGACAGACAGACAGACAGACAGACAGACACACAGACAGACGCGCACTGCTCCGTTAAACGCCATTACAACTCACCTTAGTTGATTGTGTGTCTATGTATCTGACAGGTGTACTAGTACAGACAGACAGACAGACAGACAGACAGACGCGCACCGCTACATTAAACGCCATTACAACTCACCTTAGTTGATTGTGTGTCTATGTATCTGACAGGTGTACTAGTACAGACAGACAGACAAACAGACAAACAGACAGACGCGCACTGCTCCGTTAAACGCCATTACAACTCACCTTAGTTGATTGTGTGTCTATGTATCTGACAGGTGTACTAGTACAGACAGACAGACAGACACACAGACAGACGCGCACCCCTACGTTAAACGCCATTACAACTCACCTTAGTTGATTGTGTGTCTATGTATCTGACAGGTGTACTAGTACAGACAGACAGACAGACGCGCACCGCTACGTTAAACGCCATTACAACTCACCTTAGTTGATTTTGTGTCTATGTATCTGACAGGTGTACTAGTACAGACAGACAGACAGACAGACAGACAGACGTGCACTGCTACGTTAAACGCCATTACACCCCACTTTAGTTGATTGTGTGTCCTTGTATCTGACAGGTGTTTGTCTTCCTACTCCGATGGCATGGAATGTTGCTCCAGACTTTGCCTGGCCCAGACTCTTTAAAAGGCTTCAATGATATAGCCGGAGTATTGCTGACAGCAGGGTTAAACGTATTGAGCAATGTTCTCTAATTCACTCCCTCAATAGGAGAGTGGAAGGTCGTTGGTTCCATCCCCGTCCGCATCATACCAAAAAAAGTTCAAAATGGTACTTGTTGTTACCCTCGTCACCTCCGAGTCATTGTTCTGTGTGATATCTCGGTGGGCGAACACTATAAAACTGACATTATTCCTGGCTAGTACAAGCATACACACATACAAACATGCATGCATGTCGCTATATAAGTGCAATAATCTTGAATGTGACGTTAAGTCACATTTCACCTCACCTCACTGTATAGCTCTTACGGCTGTGAAGAACCCCCAGCACCTCACACTTATCATCAGAGAATGAGGATTGGGTAGTCACAAGGTGTGACTGCTTCTGTGATTGTAACGTCCACCATGGGTTCTCAGGGGGGCGGGGGGCTTCCTGAAAAGAATAGGTCCACAGGACCTCGTTCCACAGGACCTCGTTCCACAGGACCTCGTTCCACAGAGATCTTAGCACTAAAACTGCTTAAGTCTATGTTAATGTATGGGAGTTACGATCGTCTTAGCACTACAATCGTCTTAGCACTTAGATCGTTTTGTGGAACGAGGCCCAGTACCTGATGCTTGTCACGACAGCCAATAAAATGGATTCAGGCTCATTGACATTTTGTGACGTCATCCTTGGCAGCCTGGGATGTTCCTCATACTATCAACCACTGGTTTACCTGGACCTGTTTATATTATATATACAGGCTGCAGTAATGTGGCTGAATCATTATTAAATGGCATCCACTCATTGTAACTCAGTTCACTGGTCTATTGTTTCAGTACACAGATTACTTGGTTGGCTTTGCTGTGTGTTTCGTTGTGGGCATCCTGTTCTGCATCATCATGCCTTTCGTTGGCTGTTGTTTCTGCTGTTGTCGCTGTTGTGGCAAGTGCGGCGGGAGGAAGAAGGAGAAGGATCCGAAACGAGCAAAGTGCAAGCGTGTCTCCTACTGCACTATCATGCTTATACTCAACACTATCATGCTGTAAGTACCACCATGGTTCTGTGTCTTTTTCCTCAACACTGTCATGCTTATACACAACACTGTCAAGCCTATACACAACACTGTCATGCCTGTACATTACACTCTCATGCTTATACACAACACTGTCATGCCTATACACAACACTGTCATGCTTATACACAACACTGTCATGCTTATACACAACACTGTCATGCCTATACACAACACTGTCATGCTTATACACAACACTGTCATGCTTATACACAACACTGTCATGCTTATACACAACACTGTCATGCTTATACACAACACTGTCATGCCTGTACACAACACTGTCATGCCTATACACAACACTGTCATGCTTATACACAACACTGTCATGCTGTAAGTACCACCATGGTTCTGTGTCTTTTTCCTCAACACTGTCTTGCTTATACACAACACTGTCATGCCTTCACACAACACTGTCATGCTTATACACAACACTGTCATGCTTATACACAACACTGTCATACTTATACACAACACTGTCATGCCTGTACACAACACTGTCATGCCTGTACACAACACTGTCATGCCTATACACAACACTGTCATGCCTATACACAACACTGTCATGCTTATACACAACACTGTCATGCTTATACACAACACTGTCATGCCTATACACAACACTGTCATGCTTATACACAACACTGTCATGCTTATACACAACACTGTCATGCTTATACACAACACTGTCATGCTTATACACAACACTGTCATGCCTGTACACAACACTGTCATGCCTATACACAACACTGTCATGCTTATACACAACACTGTCATGCTGTAAGTACCACCATGGTTCTGTGTCTTTTTCCTCAACACTGTCTTGCTTATACACAACACTGTCATGCCTTCACACAACACTGTCATGCTTATACACAACACTGTCATGCTTATACACAACACTGTCATACTTATACACAACACTGTCATGCCTGTACACAACACTGTCATGCCTGTACACAACACTGTCATGCCTATACACAACACTGTCATGCCTATACACAACACTGTTATGCCTATACACAACACTGTCATGCCTATACACAACACTGTCATGCCTATACACAACACTGTCATGCCTGTACACAACACTGTCATGCCTATACACAACACTGTCATGCCTATACACAACACTCTCATGCCTATACACAACACTCTCATGCCTGTACACAACACTGTCATGCCTATACACAACACTGTCATGCTTATACACAACACTGTCATGCCTATACACAACACTGTCATGCTTATACACAACACTGTCATGCCTATACACAACACTGTCATGCTTATACACAACACTGTCATGCTTGTACACAACACTGTCATGCCTATACACAACACTGTCATGCCTATACACAACACTGTCATGCCTATACACAACACTGTCATGCCTGTACACAACAGTGTCATGCTTAAACACAACACTGTTATGCTTATACACAACACTGTCATGTCGTTTACACAACACTGTCATGCCTATACACAACACTGTCATGCCTATACACAACACTGTCATGCTTATACACAACACTCTCATGCCTATACACAACATGCCTGTACACAACACTGTCATGCCTCTACACAACACTGTCATGCCTGTATACAACATTGGGAATTGGCTCAGTGGGTGATTAAGAAATATACTCATCTTGACCTGGTTTGGGTCCTTTTGAATATTATTAATTTGAAATCTGTTTATGTTTTAGTCCCATGGAATATTTTTATTGTCAACTTCAGTGTCAGGGGTCTTATAAAAGCTTCTCATCTTGATTTTCTTCTTCTGAATTTCGATTTTTAGTTTCCCATTTATTCTTTGGTACAGAGCTGGAGTGGTGTGTGCCTTTGTCACCAACGATCTCTTTCACCGATATCTACGAAACGAAGACAACAAAGGGCTTGCAGGGAGACTTGGAAAGGCTTTCACTGGATTTGACAACTACGTTGAAGAAACAATGAATGTGAGTTTTGTCATGATGAAATCACAGTATGTTGATGTGAAATGTATATATGATGTTTCACTCTGTAAGGAGTCTACGTCAGTGTTCTTGAGGCAATGGGGCGATCGGGTAGCCTAGTGGTTAAAGTGTTCGCGTTAGACCCGAGTTTGATTTCTGACATAGGTACAGTGTATTTCTGGTGATATTGCTAAAAGCAGTGTAAAACCATACTTACTCACTCACTCACTCACTCTTTAGGCAGATTGTTATTTGTTATTGACGTTATCTATCGAATGTAATTTGTTAGGATTATGTTTATGTGAAGCCAATTTCTGGAGTCCCCTGCTGTGATATTGCTGGAATATTGCCAAAAGCCGCTTAGAATCAAACTCACTAGTGGTTATCTTAGGAGGGGCCATCCTTGCTAGTTTTCATTTTGAATATTTGGTTGAAGCTCGGGAGCTTAATGCCCCTGTAAGATGTTATACCCTTTGTTACTATGGTTACTGAACCTTCCCATACATGTGTTGTATACTACATCTATACACCTGCATACGATACTTTACCTGGCTGATTGTGTCATCATCCGCCAGTCACATGGGTTGGTGCTCATGCTGTCAACCACTGGTCTGCTGGATCAGCCCTGATCATTTATAGCCTGCTGTGCTATAGCTGGAATGTTACCGACTGTGACATACTGCAGCAGTGTTTCATTCAATGATTACACACGATAACACAATAACGTATGATAACGCATGATAGTACACGATAACACATGATAACACATGATAACATAATATGCATGATAGCATGATAATACATGACAACACATGACAACACATGATAACATGATAACACATAACACATGATAACACAATAACACATGACAACTCATGATAACACGATAAACACAACACAATCACTCATGATAACACAACACATGAAAACACGATAACTCATGATTACATGTGATAACACACAATAACACATGATGACTTGTTGAAAGTTACTGGAGATGATGAATTTTAACTCAGATTGTATTCTTATCCACAGGATGTTCAATCTAGGGCACTGGGAGCTTTTGACACAACAAGAACCACTCTGGTTAGAGAGATCAACAGTAAGATATTTACCGTATTATTACCATGCAGTACCGGTATACATGGTATATAGACTTTGGCCATGTACCCTTATGTTATTCTGGGGTAGAATTGGTCCTCAGCACCTCGTGCTGGCTGTAATTGCCTATACCCTGGAGTTGACTTGGGGCATGGGTGGCTGAGTCATCTATGGTGTCGCAATTTGCTGAAACCTATGATCTGCATACGATAGTAATACTTAGATCCAAAAGAAAAGCTATCTGTAGACATATGTTCGTAGCAACTATTTTCAGTAGTGAACATGAAAATCCAGTTACAACACATTTTGCAATATTTGACTCACCAAAACGCTGGGGTGGGGGCGGGTGGGTCATTAAACGAGTAGTAAGTAATTTATTTTAGCAAGTGTGTAATCTTTTTTTATAGAAACGGGCTCTGTCCGTCCATCCGTACGTACGTACGTCCGTCATGTATCCGGAGCACAACTCAGAAACCGTTCAATATTTTTTCATCAAACTTTGCAGGTCTGTCAAGTACATGCTGAACTGGTGCCTTTTGCTATTAAGAGATTTTAGAAATTTTTATTTTTTACGTTTCCATGGCAACAAGATGGACTTAGGTTCTGTGAGGGTAGGGTTCGTTTCCGGAGCATAACTCATAAACCGTTCAATATTTTTTCATCAAACTTTGAAAGTCTGTCAGGTACATGCTGAACTGGTGCCTTTTGCTATTACGAAATTCACGTTAGTGGCAAACTCTTGTTGTTACAGAAAATAGCTTATAGTGCATCGTATCATTGCATAAAAAACTCATGATGCACCAGTGCACCGATGTATTGTTTCACCCCTAATGCTGACATGTGATAGTAATACATACGATCAACTGTGTCTTCTTGTAAATACCGAAGTACGATAGTAATAGGATGAACTGTGATTCATGTAGGAAAGCATATCATAATGACATGTACAGTTTATACTTAATGAACATGTTCAACAAGGCTTTTCAAGGTCCTCACTAATTGTTAACCCCCGACCAAAAAGGTTATACCAAGGTTCCGTCAATCTGTCAATCTGTCCGTCTGTCCGCCCGTCTGTCCAAAAACTTTGTCTACCCGATTTCTCTTAAACTATTCAGTGGATTCATCTCAAACTTAGTACATATAATCTGTGTCATATGGAGGGGAGCAGTCAAAAGAAAAAAATGTTTTTATTAATTTTCCATTTGTTTATGAATTTTTCAAACCCTAACCCTATCCATTATTTAATTTGAAACTACTTACACACTAGGCGGGAGTGGGGGATTAGTGAGCAACTCTCATTTTTGCCCTTGTTAGTTATGAGATATTTGTATAAAAGATGTGATGGAACTTCTTCCAAGAAGAAATTTTAGGAACGTTGATTATTTTATGTTTATGTTGTGACTTTTCAGCTACAGCAGGCAGTGCAGTCGACAGAGTGGCTGATCTGGTCAATGCCTCATCACTGATTCAACAGGCTGGAAATCTCAGTAAAAGTAAGTAACAGTTTATACTCCCTGGAGTTGTGTCCCCTTGGTGCAGATTCCAATAAAGTTCTGTAGCAGTATATATAAGATATTAGATGTTGATTGACAAATACTGTTATCTCATAGCATTTTGGAGTCAATATTTTCATTAATGTATAAGCCACTGATTGAAATATCACACCAACCATAAAACTCAATGGGATCAACACTTGCTCTATTTGTTACGTATTGATCTTTATGATTTCACCTCGAAAACCATGGTGACATTGAGTAGACTGAAAGTAGTTCCGGCATGAAGTTTGAATTCACTTTAGTGAAAAAACATACTGATTCTGATTGTTTTTTATATCATCACTTAATTAATACATATCAAACACATAGAGGTACAAAAGGATATTTTCCATGTATGGATATGTGTTGCAATACAGTCGTAGAGTATTGTGGAATATTTTGCAATGCAATTTTGGCTGGTGATTCTCATCTCTTCTACTGACCGATTCTTAGATTTGTTCCTAATTCGGCAGATATCAGCTGTTTGGTAACTTCCTTCTGGCCTTGCAGGAAGTACACTGGTTGTTCAGAGTTATGTCCCCTTGCAGGAACAACCACTCACAACAAGATGATTAGCAGACAACTTTTTTTTGTTTGTTTGTTGTTAAACGCTACACTCAGTAATATTCCAGCTGCATGATGGCTGTCTGTAAATAATTGAGTCTGGACCAGACATTCCAGTGATTGACATCGTCAGCATCAATCTACGCAATTGGGATACGATGACATGTATCCACTAAGTCAGCGAATCTGACCACCCGATCCCGTTCGTCCCCTCTTACGACAGCAATAGTCACCTCTTCCGACAAACATAGGTTGCTGATGACCAAATGCACTTAGCAATATTGCAGCAACCTTTAAGCATGTTAAGTAGTGTCATAGGTGATTCGGAGTGCAGTTTCCCTCATTGTAACCTATCATCAAATTGAAGGATTTATTATCTTCTTATAATTCCAGATTAGTAACTGTATCAGTATGAATCCTGTGTATGAAATGTTTGAAAAGTTTGAAAAGTTTATCAATTTGAAGATTCATTTACCTTCTGTTGCAGATGTTAATGCCACCCAGAAGGATTTGACAGATGTTGCTACTTACCTGGTCAGTCTCCAGCGTGATGGGACAGACCTCACTGCACAACTGAATGCAATCAAGACCAACTTGACATCAACCTGTACCAGCCAAGCTTGTAACACACTGGATTTTTCACAGTATGAGACAGATGCTAACTTCAGTAGTGTAAGTTGATGTAGAGTTTGTGTGTGTGCTTTTGTTTCTTGTTTACGCCGTACTCAGCATTATTCCAGCTATATGACGGTGGTCTGTAAATAATCAGGTTTGCATCAGACAATTCTTTGAATGACATTATGAACATTGATCCATACAATTGGAATACGATGACATGCATCAAACAAGTCAGCGAGCTTGACCACCCAATCCCGTTAGTCGCCTCTGACGACAAGCATAGTTGTCCCTAACGACATGCGTAGGTTGAAAAAGACCAGTTCTAACCTGGATCTTCACGGGTCAGTTGATGTAGAGAGGGAGGGGTGAAAGTAAGGATTAACCTTTCATTACCATACATTGTGGTATATCAGACTATGGATGTGTTGCAATTGTTTGCCCTATGATTGTACTCTGTGTTGGATCAGATTAGAGTTTCTTCCCTTTAGTTTGAGAAGCAACAGGGAGGATCAAGGCAGACTTTGACATTGTCGGCAATACTTCCAATCTCATAAAAATCAGATCTTAGTTCTCGCTGTCGCTAAACAAAGATCTGAGGACATCCCATTATGGGTCACGTCGGAACGACCTTTCATCCGACCAATCAAAGCGTCGCTTACCAGATCATGAAAGTGACAGTCAGAATGTGTTTCTGATCATGCAACCTCGAAAATGTTAACACGTATTCCGAACGACAGTAACAGCCCGTATTGCTGATTCCGTCATAATTATCGACTATCTCTCACTTCCCTGGGATAAACATTTGAACAGAAGAGGCGTTGCACAGTACGTGGGAAGCACTGCCATACAATCTCAACCATATATTAGACATTCCGGAACGTTCGTTTGTTCAGTTTTAAAAATTTTAATCGAGAACTGTGTCAACATATTTTTCAAGCGTAGTCTGAAATGGAAGTCACCAGGTTGAAACCTGGCAGTAAAGCTTGAGAAAGCTGCTTTCTAATTGGCTGATGTCGACTTCTTGTTAGTCATTTCAGTGGTCGGTCAAAGTTCACGAAAGGTCGTTCTGACGTGACCCGTAATGTGATGTCCTCAGATCGTTATTTAGCGGCAGCGAGAACTTAGATCTGACTTTAATGAGATTACCAATACTTCATTCATTTCTATTTCATTGATTAATATAATTATTAAGCCTTAAGTTTGTATAATACTATTGTAGTAGTATATCTAGCCCCAGTTGTGACTGAATGGTGATTGGTTGGTCACAATGAGTGACCAGGTTGATGATGTGAAGACATATCCAACGGTCTTGCCTGAGGTATTTCTCTCACATAGTCCTTTAGAGAGACTGCCTCCATGGTCAAGTGGATAGAGCGTCTGCCTGGATAGCGGAATGTTAGTGGTTAGATCCCGCCGCATCATACCAATAGATGTTAAAAGATGGCATTTGTTGTTACCCAGCCTGGTGCTCGGCATAAGGGTCTAAAACAAGGATTGGTTGGCTTGTAGTCAGTATCAATCTATCCATGTATCTCAGTGGTATCTCAGTTGTATCTCAGTGGTATCTCAGTGGTATTTCAGTGGTATCTCAGTGGTATCTCAGTGATATCTCAGTGATATCTCAGTGGTATCTCAGTGGTATCGCACTGGTATCTCAGTGATATCTCAGTGATATCTCAGTGATATCTCAGTGGTATCTCAGTGGTATCTCAGTGGTATCGCAGGGGTATCTCAGTGGTATCTCAGTGGTATCTCAGTGGTATCTCAATAGGCTAGCACCATTAAGCTGGACTTGTCCGGACAAGTACAAACAGCCGAACACACACATGCATGAACGTCACTATATAACAGCAATAATCTTGAACACAACATAAACCTCATTTCACCTCACCTCACCTCACCTCACCTCACCTCACCTCACCTCATCTATGGAGAATTATTCTGGTAAGAAAAAGTCACCATTGCCGCAAAGCATGTTAAAATCCGAATAAGATGAGGAATTGAAGGTGGCAATGTCTGAACTGTCTGATGTGTGTCACCAATTATTTGCCACTGTGGCATGTCATTCTTTTCATCAACCCCTGGTTTCATTATTTCAGTAGCTGACATCCCATTTCATGCAATTATGAGGCATTTGTTTTATTTCAGCTGAACGACCTTTCTGCAGAAGCAGGCAATGTGTCAAGGAGTCTTGACATGCAGAAATTCATTGATCAGGTAATCATTAATTTGATCAAAACAAAAGTGTTCTAAGGCTCAATGAAATATTTTTTACATATATCTCATTTATGGGAAAGTGGTTATATACACAATTAACCTTAATACACTCAACTTGTGACTGTTGGAGGGGGAATGGTTGGCACAGTTGTCAAATGTGCAGGATTTCGCTTTGGAGATTTGCATCCTTTACTCCTGCAAAGATTCGGGCGGCACAGGGGGCACGGGTGGCCCAGTCGTCTAAGGCGCCGCGATTCGCTGTGCAGAGTTGTGTCCCTTAGGCACGCCAGAAACCTATGATTGTGGGTTCGAATCCCGGTTCGCCCCGATTATGTTTCTAGGTTTGTCAGCACCATACCCGTGCCCGTGGGTTTCACCTAAGTGGAAAACGCCTGAGACCTGCATCACTTCGGGCTTTCCTCCCACATTAAGCTGACATGCCGCGATATAACTGGAATACTGTTAAAAGCGGCGTTAAACCCAACTCACTCACTCACCCTGCAAAGATTCGCTGACTGGGGTTGGAATTCCAGATTTGTACTGATTATGATTCTTGCATTGTCAGCTCTCTACCCATCTTGTGGGTTGTAAAAGTCCTGCATCACTTTGGGCTTTCCTCCCACATTAAGCTGACATGCCGCGATATAACTGGAATACTGTTAAAAGCGGCGTTAAACCCAACTCACTCACTCACCCTGCAAAGATTCGCTGACTGGGGTTGGAATTCCAGATTTGTACTGATTATGATTCTTGCATTGTCAGCACTCTACCCATCTTGTGGGTTGTAAAAGTCCTGCATCACTTTGGGCTTTCTACCTGCTAAGCTGACACAGTGATATAACTGAAATCCTTTTCAAAGTGGGATTAACCCAACTCACTCACTCAGTTTTTCTTCCATTCACCAATATACGATCATCAGGATAAATCAATTTCTCTGACAACTATTGACTACTCATTGTTGTTTTCTTGTGTCAGGCGAAGGACACCTTAGATCAAGCTAAGAGGAATGCTACTGCGGAGATCCAGGGTCAGATTAACAGTAAGTAATAGTAAAGCTGGAGTCTTGTGGAGATTTCGGTCTAGAATTGGTCGCAGCAAACTGTGCTGGTCGTAAGAGGCGACCAAATGGATCTGGAGGTCAGGATTGGTGACTGGGTAGCTTGTCCTAGTACCCCAACATGGGTTGTTGCTCGATATTATGATCACTGGATTATCTGGTCCAAACTCTGCAATTTACAGCTGCTGTCATGTAGCTGGAATATTACAACAAGCAAATTAAGGGTGGAATATAGCTGACTAGGGCTGGGACGGATAACTCGGGTCAGGTGGGTACTGAGTAGGACCCGGGTACCCAGAGGACTACCTGGACCCATGGTTAATCACATGATATATTGTTTAAAGACAAAAATTATCTAGAACTCTATGTTTAAACAACAAGTCACTAATTTTCGCTGTTCTTTCTGACTACTACGCCTATTCCTTCTGACTTTTATATGTTTGAATAAAAATAAAACAACACAGAGTCAACTTCAGTGTATACACCAGATCGTTTTATACATGTATCTAAACGCATTTTGCCAGGGCTACGGTCAAACTTTTCCCAATCAGACAGTTTGTACCTACCTTTTGAAAGGTACAGCGGGTACCCGGGTAGGGTGGGGTAATAGGGGGGTGGGTATATGGGTAGTAAATTTGGAGTCGTCCCAGGCCTATTTCAATTTAGAATATTACTATGGTTTCCTGACCATAAATTTGACTATTTTCAGATTCGGTGAACACGCTGGACAACATCCGCAGTAACATTGAGAAACAGATTGGTGATTTCAGGACTCAGTTCAATCAGACTGTAAGTTTGTCAAAATTATGAAAAACAAATGTTAAGCTGTTGTAGGTATGAGAAATTAAGGTCCATCAGCTCTAATTGGATTAATGATGTATTCTGCCAGGAATTTGGAAAATAGTCTTTTCTGATTGGCCCATTCAGAGGTTTCAAATATCAATAACCACCTCTGAAATAGCTAATTTGAGGACTGCATCACCACGGAAGCTAATATTTGTAAGAAAGTATTTCTTTCTCAATCATCAAATACTTTGAAAGAGATGAACAAATTCAAGTATAAATCTTCCTGTTGTCTCAGGTGGTGGAATGGAAGAGTTGTGTCCCTTACTGATGCCACTGTTTTGAAACCAAGATTTGACGTAATTATGATCCAAGATCTGTCCATGCCCTACCCAGACTTACCGTATGTGTTCCTGCAAGCAGTGTCTATGACCTACTTCACTTGGTCTTTCCATGCACAAACAGCTGACTTGAAGGGATGTAACTGGAACACTGTATTACAAGAGGAGGGCACGGGTGGCCCAGTCGTCTAAGGCTCCGCGATTCGCTGTGCAGAGTTGTGTCCCTTGGGCACGCCAGAAACCTATGATTGTGGGTTCGAATCCCGGTTCGCCCCGATTATGTTTCTAGGTTTGTCAGCACCATACCCGTGCTCGTGGGTTTCACCGGAGTGGTAAACGTCTGAGACCTGCATCACATCGGGCTTTCCTCCCACATTAAGCTGACACGCTGCGATATAACTGGAATACTGTTAAAAGCGGCGTTAAACCAAACTCACTGACTCACTATTACAAGAGAGCATTGAGATTAATGCTTAGTTGTGATCACTTGAAAATATTTCTATTTTGCTGTTTCAGACAAAATTTGCATCCAATGCAATGAAGACTCTGAATGAGACCACAAGCCCATCTATGATGCAATATTATGACTATGTGTAAGTGATTTATATATAATAATAATAATGATAATAATAATAAATAAAATAATAATAATGTAACTGATTTTGTAAAACGGGAATACCTGTGAACTTCCTTAATTGAGATAAAAAACTGTTGTGCTCATTGATATATTGATTGTGTCGATTCATGTTTTGTGTTGTGTTGTGTTGCAGGTGGTACGCGGGTATCGGTGTGAGCAGTGTCTACCTACTGATTGTGTTGTGTTGTGTTGCAGGTGGTACGGGGGTATCGGTGTGAGCAGCGTCTACCTACTGATTGTGTTGTGTTGTGTTGTGTTGCAGGTGGTACGCGGGCATCGGTGTGAGCAGTGTCTACCTACTGATTTTGTTGTTTTGTGTTGTGTTGTGTTGTGTTGCAGGTGGTACGCGGGTATCGGTGTGAGCAGCGTCTACTTACTGATTGTGTTGTGTTGTGTTGCAGGTGGTACGCGGGTATCGGTGTGAGCAGCGTCTACCTACTGATTTTGTTGTTTTGTGTTGTGTTGTGTTGCAGGTATCGGTGTGAGCAGTGTCTACCTACTGATTTTGTTGTTTTGTTGTTTTGTGTTGTGTTGTGTTGTGTTGCAGGTGGTATGCAGGTATCGGTGTGAGCAGTGTCTACCTACTGATTGTGTTGTGTTGTGTTGCAGGTGGTACGCGGGTATCGTTGTGAGCAGCGTCTACCTACTGATTGTGTTGTGTTGTGTTGTGTTGCAGGTGGTACGCGGGTATCGTTGTGAGCAGTGTCTACCTACTGATTGTGTTGCAGGTGGTATGCAGGTATCGATGTGAGCAGTGTCTACCTACTGATTGTGTTGTGTTGTGTTGTGTTGCAGGTGGTACGCGGGTATCGGTGTGAGCAGCGTCTACCTACTGATTGTGTTGTGTTGTGTTGTGTTGCAGGTGGTACGCGGGTATCGTTGTGAGCAGCGTCTACCTACTGATTGTGTTGTGTTGTGTTGTGTTGCAGGTGGTACGCGGGTATCGTTGTGAGCAGTGTCTACCTACTGATTGTGTTGCAGGTGGTATGCAGGTATCGATGTTAGCAGTGTCTACCTACTGATTGTGTTGTGTTGTGTTGTGTTGCAGGTGGTACGCGGGTATCGGTGTGAGCAGTGTCTACCTACTGATTGTGTTGTGTTGTGTTGTGTTGCAGGTGGTACGCGGGTATCGGTGTGAGCAGTGTCTACCTACTGATTGTGTTGTGTTGTGTTGTGTTGCAGGTGGTACGCGAGTATCGTTGTGAGCAGTGTCTACCTACTGATTGTGTTGCAGGTGGTACGCGGGTATCGTTGTGAGCAGCGTCTACCTACTGATTGTGTTGCAGGTGGTACGCGGGTATCGTTGTGAGCAGCGTCTACCTACTGATTGTGTTGTGTTGTGTTGCAGGTGGTATGCAGGTATCGTTGTGAGCAGCGTCTACCTACTGATTGTGTTGTGTTGTGTTGTGTTGCAGGTGGTACGCGGGTATCGTTGTGAGCAGCGTCTACCTACTGATTGTGTTGTGTTGTGTTGTGTTGCAGGTGGTACGCGGGTATCGTTGTGAGCAGCGTCTACCTACTGATTGTGTTGTGTTGTGTTGTGTTGCAGGTGGTACGCGGGTATCGCTGTGAGCAGTGTCTACCTACTGATTGTGTTGTGTTGCAGGTGGTACGCGGGTATCAGTGTGAGCAGTGTCTACCTACTGATTGTGTTGTGTTGTGTTGCAGGTGGTATGCAGGTATCGTTGTGAGCAGCGTCTACCTACTGATTGTGTTGTGTTGTGTTGTGTTGCAGGTGGTACGCGGGTATCGTTGTGAGCAGCGTCTACCTACTGATTGTGTTGTGTTGTGTTGCAGGTGGTACGCGGGTATTGTTGTGAGCAGTGTCTACCTACTGATTGTATTGTGTTGTGTTGTGTTGCAGGTGGTACGCGGGTATCGCTGTGAGCAGTGTCTACCTACTGATTGTGTTGTGTTGTGTTGCAGGTGGTACGCGGGTATCGGTGTGAGCAGTGTCTACCTACTGATTGTGTTGTGTTGTGTTGCAGGTGGTACGCGGGTATCGGTGTGAGCAGTGTCTACCTACTGATTGTGTTGTGTTGTGTTGTGTTGCAGGTGGTACGCGGGTATCGGTGTGAGCAGTGTCTACCTACTGATTGTGTTGTGTTGTGTTGTGTTGCAGGTGGTACGCGGGTATCGGTGTGAGCAGCGTCTACCTACTGATTGTGTTGTGTTGTGTTGTGTTGCAGGTGGTACGCGGGTATCGGTGTGAGCAGTGTCTACCTACTGATTGTGCTTTGCTACTACCTGGGGGTACTGTTTGGAATGTGTGGGGAGCGACCGGGCTACGACGCCCCCTGTTGCAACAAGGGCATTGGAGCCAACTTTCTAATGGCGTGAGTTAGGAAAAGCTTAATATATGACTTACGAAAAATAGTGAGAGCATGGGGCCACACAGCTATCGTAGCTTCAGCAATTAGTTCTTGTTGAAGTAAGTCTGTTATGAAAGTAGTTGCACCTTGGTGATAACCATGAGTGAAATGGTAGAATCGGGTGAATGTTTGAAGAGAATCCATATGTACCTTTATTTTGTTAGTTTTTTCATTCTTTTCCTCGCTTGAAGATCCGGGGTAGAATAGGTCTTCAGCAACCGATGCTTGCCATAAAAGGCGACTAATGGGATGCATGTTGTTGTTTACCAATTGCGCCGCACTCCGCAATATTCCAGCTATGTGATGGCGGTCTGTAAATAATCAAGTCTGGACCAGACAATCCAGTGATTGATATAATGAGCATCGATCCACGCAATTAGGATAAGTTGACATGCATCAACCAAGTCCGCGAGCCTCACCACCCGATCCCGTTAGTCGCCTCTTACGACAAGCTTAGTCACCTTTTATGGCTGCATGGGTTGCTGAAGGCCTATTCTACCCCAGATCTTCATGGGTCTATTGTATCTGTGAGTTACAGTAGAAGCTGAAGTAGTAATGAAATTGGTAGAAAGAATCTGTAGTGAAATAAGGCATCGAAACCATAAAAGGAGTTAAAATCCAGAAGACAATGCCATCTCCATATACAAGAAGTGCAACTTGAACCAGGCCCAGTTGAGCCACACTCAACTGTAGGTTGCAGGTCGTTGTAGTTGATGTTGTGTTGCTTCAGCGGCGTGGGCTTCAGCTTCATCTTCTCCTGGCTGCTGATGCTGCTGGTCACCCTGTTCTTCATCGTTGGCGGTCCTACCTTCACCGAGTTCTGCCGCTACTTTGACGCCCATGACCCCAGTCAAATCAGGGTACGTTAGCTTTCACAGAAGGGTGTATACTTCTCACAATTTTGTGTTGTAGTTTGTGTCCTTTAAATATTTGTGCAAGGAACTTCTTTCGAAGATAAGAGATAAGAACATATGAACAGAACTGCTTGCTCAGAATTCTGAACCTAATTTTTGAAGGTTTTCTTTGATTCGGTCTTTACAGTGACATGGCAGGTTGAAGTAATTCTTGATTTTGTTTTTTGACATTAATGATGTCAATATAATTAATTTCCGATTTTTTTAGATCTCACGTGAACTCTTGAGTGAACTTTGACCACCCAGTCTGAAAAAAGGATATCTAACCCTTCACTTCTTTTTTATCTTAACAAACAAAAACTACCAAAGAACACAAGCATACCCTTAGTGGCACTCCATTTGGGTTCTAGAGGCCATGGTGCTCAGAAATGACAGTGACATTTTGTTCGCTCACTCACTCAAGTGTATCTAAATAAATTTCAAATGATTCCATGGCATTTCATTGGGAAACCAGGCTCTGTGTTTAAACTTATGTTTCAATAAACTGAAAACAATTTACAATGGGCGGAACTATGTCACTGATTTCGTATTGTGTTTTGTGTGTTAATGAATGAGCAAGCATTTTGTTGTAATTTTTTACATATTTATTTATAAGAATTGACTTAAATATGTTTTTGCCTTTTTGGATGCATGAACATAAAGAATTGTCTGCACACCAGTAAATCTCCTACGAGTAGTTAAAAAGTATGCAAACTGGTTTTTACATTTATACGCACTTAAATGCCAAAAATATTGAAATCAATTTTTGAATATTTGACAGTTTATCATGGATCCACTGAGCCAACAGTTCAACTTGTCGCAGACCCTGTACAAAGATCCTTCAGTGAAATTTGATCTGGTCAAGGTGCTGGAGTAAGTATTGTCCAATCAATCATTGTGACTTACTCTTGTCCTTGATTCAAATTACAATGATTTAAACTACCATTTTGCTGCGGGCTTGGCGCGTCTGTGAAACATTAGCCCCCACCCACCCCATTTTACTGGTTAAATAAAGTTTGCAATCTTGTGGTTTAAAGCCACCCCATAATTTCCCGAAACATCAACATGAGTAAGCCATGAGCAGCCAAGCCAACTGTAGTCATCAGTTTCTTGGTGTTCTTCATTGCTTGCTATATATCAAAGGACCTCAGTCATGCCGAAGACCAGGGTTTGATTCCCGACATGGGTACAATGCATGAAGCCCATTTTCCGCCATGATATTGCTGGAATATTGCTAAAAGCGACATAAAACCACATTCTCACACCTAAGGACATCAGAAATAATTTAGTGTAATGCCCCTCATATATATTTAAACACTTCATTTATCATTATCATATAATTGGTCAGTTGCTTGGTAGGATGTAGCCAATGGAAAGAATGGTGTCCGATCATTTACAAATAAGTAAGTTGCAAGTGATTCTGTGGCATTTTTTTGCTTTTATGTTTCCATAACTGAAAACAATTAGGCTATGCCCACCAATGGACTACTGTTTACTGATTGGTTGATAATAAAATGGGCGGGGTTTGTGTTGCTTTATTGTGCTGATTGATGTGGGGATTCCAGGGCAGAATAGGTCCCCAGCAACCATTGCTGGTCTCCCTGTGGGGATTGCAGGGCAGAATAGGTCCCCAGCAACCATTGCTGGTCTCCCTGTGGGGATTGCAGGGCAGAATATGTCCCCAGCAATCATTGCTGGTCTCCCTGTGGGGATTCCAGGGCAGAATAGGTCCCCAGCAACCATTGCTGGTCTCCCTGTGGGGATTGCAGGGCAGGATAGGTCCCCAGCAACCATTGCTGGTCTCCCTGTGGGGATTGCAGGGCAGGATAGGTCCCCAGTAACCCATGCTAGTCTCCCTCACCAAAGGCTCCCATAATACAATGTTTATTCCTAATGTATATTAAGTGATAGCTAATCATCTCTGTGTCTTTCCTTCAGTGATTGTAAACAGAACAAAGCTGTGTACAAGGCGCTGAAACTAGAACACGTGTTCAACCTGTCGTCATTGATTAATCTCAAAGTAAGTACAATTGGTTCACATAGGAAAGGTTTGAAAGCAGTCACATACCGTCGCAGTACATTTTGCAGCATATTCTTAATATCATACCATGTGAAATTATTGCAGTAAAATTGTAACACCATATAAGTTGACAATGATGCCTTCCACTGCTAGCAGAAATTCACAAAATAATAACACGACACCAGCTACTAACCCGTTTGTTTGAGTAGTACAAATGGTTTATGATAGAAAAGTTATATGCAACACTTTTTGTGATAAGTAAATTATTATTATTATTATTTATAATAATAATAATGATGATGATGATGATGATGATGATGATAATGATGATGATGATGATGATGATGATTCTCAATCCCAGGGGTCTGTGTAGTTCGGTCATTATCAGCACCACAACCCGCTGTGCAGAGTTCAGTCATCCCAGAAGCATATGACATCATCCACTGTGTCATGATGAGAGTGCTATGGATAACTTTTGTGTTTTACAGTATCTATAAACACTGTCAGTCCTGAATGAAAGTTCTTTGCTATACAAATACTCACTAACACCTCCAAAACTGAAAACATATTATATTGTTTATCACCTGAAACAATCTTTGGTTTTCACAGGATGTGGATGCAAGAATTGATGAAATAGCTGCACAGAACTTCACCTTACCTGAAATTTCTTTGATCAGTCCTGAACTTAGAAATAGGATTGATGATTTTGGCCAGTCAGGACTCGACAGGATTGATTTTGCTTCATTTGATAATCAGGTGAGACTCTTTGTTTGGCTGGATGTATATCCTCTTAGCTGGGAGAGGGGGCACAGGTGGCACAGGTGGCACAGTGGCACAGTTGGCACAGTCGGCACAGTTGTCTAAATGTGCTGCCATTCGCTGTGCAGAGTTGTATACCTTCAGGGTGTCAGAAACTGTGACCATGCGCCTAAATCCCTGATTCACACTGTTTGTAGTCTAGGTTTGTCAGCACAATATCTGTGGGTTTCACACATGTAAATGTCTAAGACCTGCATCGTGTGGGTCTTTCCTCACACATCAAGCTAACACACTGTGATATAGGACTAAAATACTGCCCATAGCTGCATTGACCGCCTCCGTGGTCTAGTATTTGAGTGTCCGCCCAGAAAGCCGAACGTCCAGGGTTCGATCCCCGGCTGCGTCATACCAGAATACATTAAAAGTACCTCTTGTTACTCTGTCTGGTGCTCGGCATTAAGGGGTTAAAAGGACTTGTCGGCCCTATTTCACCTCACCTTTATTATGAGATACGATGTAAACATTGTGTGTTTTCAGTGTGGAGATGGTGTACAAGCAGATCTAATTTCACTTAATTCATTTTTGAACCAAACTCACTTGATGAGGTTTCAAATGTTAATTTTAGCTTGGTTAAATTAGATTTTAATGATTTCGTTGGAAAAGTGATTTGAAAGACCTCATTGACCAATCAAAAACAAGTCTTTTCCAAATTCATTGTAGTATTTTTTTTATGAATGTTATTTCAACACTATTAGTATCCAGTGAGACCTCATGAATCTGAGCGAAATTTTCATGATATAAGAGTCGTGTGTACGTATTTACTGTTTATTTTAAATATAGACAGACATTCCCAACTCGACTTACACAGATACAATTTCTGGACTAGGAACCCGAGGAATTTCCTATTGATTTGAGTGTTTACTTTGATAATGACAATCTCAATTTTTCCATCAGACATCAATTTTCATAAAATACATTTTTCTTTAGAGACTTCATTTTTCTTCGTAAGACTTGTGGCTGTTTGTGTTCACTCTTAAAGCCCTTCATTTCAGATGGTGTGTTGTTTGACAAGTGGGAACAGATTCAGTGTCTATGTCATTTCTCTGCTGTTCAAGTGCACAATCTGATTAATTAAACACTCATAAGGCGATGTTTTTTAGTTGCTTTACAGATTTCTGTTTTGTTCTTACAATGTAGGTGGTACAGACAAACAGAACAAAACAATATCTCGACTGCACTAATGGGTCACATGAATGTCATCATTTTCTCGCCTAGATACAACCCTGCAACTGGAATTGTCAAAGGGCTGTACATGCTTGCCGTAAATGGCGACTATGCTTGTCGTAAGAGGCGACTAACAGGATCGGGTGGTCAGGCTCGCTGACTTGGTTGATGCATGTCATCAATCCCAATTGCGTGGCTTAATGCTCATGATGTCAATCATTGGATTGTCTGGTCCAGACTCGATTATTTACAGACTGACGTCATATAGCTGGAATATTGCTGAGTGCGGTGTTAAACAATAAACCAACCAACCAACTTTCAGCGGCCTACATCGCTTCAAAATTTGCATTCAATACTTTGCTATGTGTTTCGAATTATGCAGTGAGCCCTCTTTTCAACACATCTATTCTTTATGCCATTAGCGTTGGCGGGATTAAAAGAAATTCAGAAGTGTAATTTTAATTGAATTTTTTTGTTCAATTTGCTAATTATCATGTCAGCGGATCTGTAAACCAACAACACCAAAATTAGAGGCGTATAGTTGTAGGATAGTCAGTATCTGATTCCAAACCCATAAACCTCCGACTGCACCTGCCCAGTATCTGAAATGACACAGCTGAAATCACTCAGGACAAGGAGGGATTTTGAGTCATTAAAATCTTGTCATTTGGGTGGATTGTTTATATTTTTGGTTTAATTTTTGGTGTTGGTGCATGCATCCAAAGATTGCAGCTACTGAATAAACATGCATATTATCAATAGAAAACGTGTCAAAAGATATTAGTTTCTGCTTTGAACAATTGTAACTAACTTGGATTTTATATGTCTCCAAATGATGGATATGATGAAAGGTCAGTCATGGCGTTTCATGTGCGGATATTGCCAACATATTCTTGCATATTAAGTCATCTGTACTGAATGTTTCATCGCCATTGTCTGCTTGTTTTTTTAAGCTGAATAAGGTAGGTTGGAATGTGGATGTAGTCATGTTGGCATGACATGTAAGAATGGAATGTTGTAGCCAGGCTGTGCATGTAGCCCTTGTTCTACAGCAAGGCAATTCCTGCCGTCTCTATGTACGGTACATGACGTGACAACACGTGACAGGACAACATGTGACAGGACAACACATGACAAGACAACACATGACAGGACAACACGTGACAGGACAACACGTGACAGGACAACACATGACAGGACAACACATGACAGGACAACATGTGACAGGACAACACGTGACAGGACAACACATGACAAGACAACACATGACAGGACAACACGTAACAGGACAACACGTGACAGGACAACACATGACAGGACAACACATGACAGGACAACATGTGACAGGACAACACGTGACAGGACAACACGTGACAGGACAACATGTGACAGGACAACACGTGACAGGACAACATGGGACAGGACAACACGTGACAGGACAACACGTGACAGGACAACACGTGACAGGACAACATGGGACAGGACAACATGTGACAGGACAACACGTGACAGGACAACACGTGACAGGACAACACGTGACAGGACAACACGTGACAGGACAACATGGGACAGGACAACATGTGACAGGACAACATGTGACAGGACAACACGTGACAGGACAACACGTGACAGGACAACACGTGACAGGACAACATGGGACAGGACAACACGTGACAGGACAACACGTGACAGGACAACACGTGACAGGAAAACATGGGACAGGACAACATGTGACAGGACAACACGTGACAGGACAACACGTGACAGGACAACACGTGACAGGACAACACGTGACAGGACAACACGTGACAGGACAACATGGGACAGGACAACATGTGACAGGACAACATGTGACAGGACAACACGTGACAGGACAACACGTGACAGGACAACACGTGACAGGACAACACATGACAGGACAACATGGGACAGGACAACATGGGACAGGACAACACGTGACAGGACAACAAGTGACAGGACCACACATGACAGGACCACATGTGACAGGACAACACATGACAAGACAACACGTGACAGGACAACACGTGACAGGACAACACGTGACAGGACAACACGTGACAGGACAACATGGGACAGGACAACATGTGACAGGACAACATGTGACAGGACAACACGTGACAGGACAACACGTGACAGGACAACATGTGACAGGACAACACGTGACAGGACAACACATGACAGGACAACATGTGACAGGACAACACGTGACAGGACAACATGGGACAGGACAACATGTGACAGGACAACATGTGACAGGACAACACGTGACAGGACAACACATGACAGGACAACATGTGACAGGACTATATGTGTCATGACAGACGGTTGAACCCATAACAGGACACATGATGTGACATGACGAAAAATGTAACGTGACAACACACAACTTGACGTAACACGTGACAGGACCACACATGACAGGACAAGACATGACATGACAAGACATGACATGGCAACACATGACATGGCAACACATGACAGGACAACACGTGACATGACAATGCATGACATGGCAACACATGACATGGCAACACATGACAGGACAACACGTGACATGACAATGCATGACATGGCAACACATGACATGGCAACACATGACAGGACAACACCTGACATGACAATGCATGACATGGCAACACATGACAGGACAACACGTGACATGACAATGCATGACATGGCAACACGTGACAGGACAACACCTGACATGACAATGCATGACATGGCAACACATGACATGGCAACACGTGACATGACAATGCATGACATGGCAACACGTGACAGGACAACACCTGACATGACAATGCATGACATGGCAACACATGACATGGCAACACGTGACAGGACCACACGTGACAGGACAACACATGGCAACACGTGACAGGACCACACATGACCTGGTTTGAATAATGCATGTCCGACTTGCCCTAGTTCAGTCTGCCCAACAGCTGAGCTACTCTTCTGTCCTACTGTACTGACACTGCTTGAACTGGATCAGCTTGTGGATTGCAGTTTAATATGGAAGACACTTCCCCAGTGTACCAGACTTAGTGTAGTGAATATTGTCCATGCTGCAGCTAGCATGCACACTGTCATGCACAAATAGACTATTCATGTTGTGATGCACATAACCATCCGCCTGAGTTGCAGGAGCATCTATATACATATAATAAGCAGGGAAATGGTGTATATATATGTATATATGTATGTAGGCTGAATGGGATCCAAGGTGTGAGGCTGATACAATCTCATTAAAATCAGATCTTAGTTTTTGCTATCGCTAAACAAAGTGCTGAGGTCATCCCATTACGGGTCACGTCAGAACGACCTTTCATCCAACCAATCAGTGTCGCTTACCAGATCATGAAAGTGACAGTCAGAATGTGTTTTCTGATCATGCAACTACGATATATTTAACACAGGGTATTCCGAACGACAGTTACGGGTTTTATGATTATATCCATACAATCTAGGCCATCTATGAGCCATTCCAGAATGTTCTTTTTATCAGTTATAAAAATTTTAATTGAGAATACGTCAAAATATGTTTCAAAAGGTAGTCGCCAGTTGGAAACCAGTGTCGTAAAGCTCGAAAAAGCTGCCTTCTGATTGGCCAATGTCAATTTCTTGATAGTCATTTCATTGGTCGGTCAAAATTCGCGAATGGTCGTTCTGACATGACCCGTAATGGGATATCCTCAGATCTTTGTTTAGCAGCAGCCAGAACTTAGATCTGATTTTAATGAGATTGGAGGCTGGTATACAGATGATAACATTAAATGCATGTTGGTGTGCAGCTGTGGAGGGTATTGTCACATGTGACAAACTGGCAGGTGACCAATCATAATTTCTTTGTCAGTGAGCAAAATGGAAGATGTTATTTTGTACAAAGATGAACAGGACATAGTGGCAAAGCTATGAATGGTACTGGGATTTGCTGCACTTTGTTGATCACTGGTACAAAGAGACTTTATACAGGAGCTAGTGAATAAGGTTTCATTTTGCAGTGCGCATGGGTGGCCTTATGAAGAGTTGTGTCCCTTGGACATGGCAGGATCCTATTTTGTTGGTTTGAATTCCAGATTTGCCAGGATTATAATTCTTGGTTGTCAGTACCAAGCCTGTGCACATGGGTTTCAGAAATGGGGGCAAACGTCACAGAGCTGAATCACATGAGGCTTTCCTCCCTCATCAAGCTGACTTGCAGTGATGCATCTGAAGCACTGTACAAAGTGGCGTTCCAACAAACCCACTTCTGAACTTATGTTGTCAGCAATGTCATGTGACTTGTCACATGACCAAGCTAGGACCTGACAAACAAGTGTGTGAATGTCAGTCTTCCTTCCTTCTATGATGATATTATTATTAACAGGTTTCATTGTGCTTCATTGCATGAACGTAGTTGGGAAATGAACCATTGCATGTTCTAAGGAATGTTTCTCTCTTGTTCTAGGCTTAGAAATAATTTTTACTCTGCCTTATCAATTTTCTTGCAATCTGAAATCACTGACCATCAGTCTTGTGAGATAACTTTGTACCTTCAATGACGTTGCCACTTCGAGCTGTATCATGGGTCATAGCAAGAAATGTTCTCATCTTATAATCATTGTCATGCAATAATTAAGTTTCCTATAATCATGGACCCATGAAGATCCGGGGTAGAATAGGTCTTCAGCAACCCATCCTTTGCCGTAAAAGGAGACTATGCTTGTCGTAAAAGGCGACTAACAGGATCGGGTGGTCAGGCTCGCTGACTTGGTTGATACATGTCATCGATCCCAATTGCGTGGATTGATGCTCATTATATCAATCACTGGTTTGTCTGGTCCAGACTCGATTATTTACAGATCACCGTCATATAGCTGGAATATTGCTTTGTGCGGCGTTAAACAACAAACAAACAAACAAACAAACAAACAAGTCCTATAATCATGCTAGTGTTTGTTGCCACACACTGTGGCCTGTATATTCCGATGTGCATGGTCAAACTTAACTGGTACCGCTCTGCAGAATGCTAGAGTCATATGTAACACAGAGTCAGTTTAACTTTTCTTCAGACGTCTGCCCTTTGGGTGGAGGCTTTTTTCTTCATCTTATCATCTATTTAGCAATGTGTTTTTAAGCCTATTATTTTTTGTTAGAGGACTTTATATTTTGTTTGGCAAGTGTGTTTGTACAAAATGGATAATGGTATGCAGTTGTTGCTTCAGTAATTCAGCCCAAAATTTTTTTTCTGATTATTTTTCATTTATGCATGTCTTTTGTTACATTTTAGACTAATAAGAAACTAACGAGCACTAACCTGACCGAGGCAGCTGGACAATTGGAAAGTGCTGCAAACACAGCTACTGATCAGGTGAGTGGCTGGCGTTTTCTATGCAGTCAACTATGGTTATAACAAACTAAAAGGTACCACTAATTTTAGTTCGTTATAACTGTAGTTTGTTATAGGCACATATACAGCCTATATACAGCAAATACAGTTTGTTATATCGGTCAGTTCGGTATAAGCAAGTTCGTTTATAAATGTAGTTTACTGTTTAAAACCAAGTTGAAGAAAGACAAGTTCTATGGATGAACAACTTCTTTATTACAATTAGTGCGACGTTTCGGTGTAGATCCTAACACCTTTATCAAGCAAGTGATACGAAACGTCAGACTACTGTATTCGACGTAATAAGCGCCCAGGGCGCTTTTAAAATTAGAAATAGGGGGCTCTTATTAGAATATTATTTTGGTGGAAAAAAGAGAGTTGAAAGATAAATTTCGTGGTTTATGCTGACACACTGAAATGTTTATATGCGACAGATACATTTTTCCAAAATTTAATTGCCCATAATTAAGAATGCATATAACACACGACTGCGTATTTTACGCGAATAAAAAAGTCTTGTGTACATTGATCAATAGGAAGGAGTGCTAATTTTGATTGTTTACTAGCCTATATATTAGCAAATATCGCCGTGGGCGCTTATTAGAGCGGGGCGCTTATTACGTCGAATACGGTAATTGTAATAAAGAAGTTGTTCATCCATAGAACTTGTCTTTCTTCATCACACCAACTTCTAAATGCCACTGAAAGAAGTTAAAACCAAGTTGTTCCAGCAAAGCATGAGATTGTCATGAAGTGAATTAGCAATCTATTGCAAATAATTTGAAAATGTGCAGATTCTGGGTTAACATAGGTCATCAGCTATCAATAAATCCACTTAATGGATCGAGTGCTGAGGCACAGCGACTTCGTTGATGGAGTGTCAGCGTATTCTGATGGCATGGATTGTTGTTTATAATCACTGGATTGTCTGGAACATCAAGTAGCTGGAATATTGCTGAGCTAAACAATAAGCACATCAAATAGCTTGAAAAAAAATATGGACAAATTATGAAGACAATATTATATGCATTAGCTTCCTAATTACCTGCGTCCATGATGGAGTAACACTATCTGAGATTAGGTCCTGGTTGGTTTACACGAAATAACAGTGTATTACAACCATGAAATAACCCGTAGATTTCTATGAACAAGTAAATTTCAGCTTTTGATATTTCTTGAGTTAAAATAACTTTTGTTATTTATATTGCAGACGCTTCAGGGAGTGCTTCGTGCTAACGCTCAAGCTCTGAAAGAATTGCATACTACTTACGTTCACAATATGACTGCAAATGTGGTTTGTATATTATATTTGTTCTCTTTTCGGTACTTGAATCATAGCCATACATTCTGTGGTGTATCTTGTGACCTTAAGGTCTATCGTCCATTACGTCTCGGAGATGTTAGCTCATGGCTAATCCCCATTTCCATGTAATATTTGAAAAATATGAAAATGTTTGAATGCTTCACAAAAATAAGTGAATGCTTCTTCCTCCACTCCCAGTGGTAATGTGAGTTCAGAATATGTAGACAGCCTCCGTGGTCTAGTGGTAGAGTGTCTGCCCGGAGAGCGGAAGGTTGGGGGTTTGATCCCCAACCTCGACATACCAAAAGATGTTAAAAGTTGGTAATTGTTGTTACCCTGCCTGGCGCTTGGCATAAAGGGGCTAAAACAAGGACTGGTCGGCAGTGTCATATAAGTGCAATAATCTTGACCACGATGTTAAACCCCACCCATTTCACCTCACCTCAGAATTTGTATCCCAGATGGGCTTGATTTTTGTTCACGACTGGACATCATGAATCATGTTTGTTTGTTTGTTGTTTCATTAAATCATGTATGTCATGTATGTAACTAATTTTAACATGGCCACTGTAGAAAAGTGGATGTGTGTTGTCAGTGTAGTTGCATACCTCGGCCCATACATCTATGGTAACAACTAAAGATATCTGAAAATTTAGAATTTGAACAAACGAACAAACAGCTACTTTTGTAATACAGCCTGCCATGGGTCTGTGACTTTCAAGCAGTAATATTACTTCTTTTTTTCAGAACAATCTGAAGAGGGCCCTTAATTCCCTGAAGACTCACAGGAATATAGCAGTATGTGCATGTCATAAAATTTCAATCCTTTTCTTTACAAAAATTCAAATAACCAACCTTAACTTATGCATTTTATTGTTATCTTTGTGAAAACATTACCAAATTAATACTGTTCAACATTACCATGTCCCTAGGATATTTGAATTGAAAAGATAAATATGTAAATATGTTCACTAATAGAAATTAAACAAGTTGTCATGAATATGCCTGTTTTTTTTCAGAACCTTACGCTAGACCTTGTAGCCAATTTAAATGCTTCACAAGTCACCTTCAATACTCGGCGCAATGGTTTAGTGAAAGAGGTGAGTTTTTCACATGAAAATAATCATAATAACGATAATCATGATAATACGCAATTAATGAAGCACAAGACTAAACTCTGGGGAGGGCATGTTATAGTTTGTTCTGGTCAACAGACCAGTGTGCATTTCATTTGCATTCTCAACTCCCTGGGAATAATACATACATTGATTCAACTTTGAAAAAAGATGCGAGTATTGTGTGCAGTTGATATAGAAGCATCCATAAGGAAACGGAAAGGGAAAATTCATATTTAGTTTGCTTGTCCTTAAGTTTGGCTGATGAATTTGAAAAGGCTTTGAATTTTATCACTAAAATCTCCACGTAGCCTGTTTAAGCACTTGTGGTCAAATCTTGTATATTTTGTGTTCAGGTGATAGTTAATCTGACAGCATCCCTGAAGTCCACAACACGGTCCACTGTCGACGATCTCATCAATACGGTAGGTATGGGGAGAGTCCTTAATCAGTGTCATTGATTCGAGTTATACCCAGGTTTTTCCTGATTGTATTTAGGTTTGTCAGCATCCATTTGTCTGGGTTTCCCTATGTGGTGAACAGAAAAGACCTGCATCACGTCGGACACTCCTCCCACATGAAGCTGACACACTGTGCTATAACTGAAATACTGTTCTGAGCGATGTCAAAACCAACTCACATACTCTCACTCTCTTCCCTCTCTCCATATTGGTAGAGTAAATTTACTAATAAGAATATTAGTTTTGAATGAATTAAGGGAATACTGTATATGACAATGTCTGTATAAGCCCTCCTTTCTGCGTATATAACTGTCCCCTTTGGCCACTGGGGGATAATTATATTTGGTTACTGTATATCATGATATTAAGATATTTGGTAGGTACTGGTGAGGTCACATGACATCAATAATAACAATGTTTTTTCTTATTATGTTTATTCAGGTGGAGAACAATGTAGGCCGATGCAAGCCTGTGTATGATTCAATCTATCAAGCCACAGACTCCATCTGTATTGCTGGGCTCAATCCACTGGTGAGTCAATTCCAATACCTCTAAAGTGAATGCTTAAGTTTTCAATACCTCAAAAGTGAATGCTTAAATTTTCAATGCCTCAAAATGGAATGTTTAAGTTTTCATGAAATTCTATCATCATTACCATTGACTTAAATTTGTTGTTGTTGTCATTTTGGACTTAAATTGGTGTGAAAAGTCATTGTTTGATCTTCCTTTATTTTCTCAGTTCATTTAGAATGTAGAAGATTCAGTCATATTTCACATGATATAATAGTCAAACTGCATAGCAGGATGAAGATTGAGACAATCTGACATTTTGAAACTAAGCTTCTGACACTGCTATTGAACAAATATTATCATAGCTCTTTGAACAACCTGTATGATAGAAAAGTACAGTGTTGATTTATCACTGATATCGTCACTATCTGAGCTCTCACAGTTTGTTTGAAATAGACGTGTAACAGCTTGATACACATTGTAATGTTGTCTGGTGCATGTTTCTTTTCTTGGTTTGATATTTCTTATTAGTATCATGTGTTAAAGTGAGATGCTGAATTTATGTAATTAAATGCTTTATTGAAGTTCTTAATAAATATGGGGGGCAGTGGGGCAGGCTAGTTAAAGTATTTGCTCATCTCGCCGAAGACCTGGGTTGATTCCCCACATAAATACAAAGCTTGAGTTTTAACGTAAAATCTAGCACAGGACAAGTTTATGAAACAACGCCTGATAGTTTTTTGCTTCTTTGCTTGGCCAAGTAATCAACATGATGGGACTGGAAAATCCAAATGAGAAAATGTGTGACTCTTCTATATCAAGGAAGAGAACATAACATTGTAACAACTTATTGAAGCCCTAATAACAGAAAGGCTTCATGATTGACTTTGGTGTGATAAATCATGGGATATTCCCTGTTATTTCTCTAGTGTTGTGTTAAAGAAGGCAGTGGTCGATAGGTCCTCCAGTCTTGGGTAGGTTGCGATGACCACCTCTAGTGCCTATTACACGGTGTAATGATGCATTGGTTCGTTCTTCATACAGAATGGCCTGTGGTTCAGCTGGGGCTGGTGCATCTTCTTCTTCATCCCCTGCATCATCTTCGCTGTCAAGCTTTCCGGACTCTACCGCCGTGAAGAGGAGTACTCCCCCGAGAAGGACTTTGATGACCAGTGAGTACCAAGCCAATCATGTTTCACTGATGCATTCTGGTCAAGATCACTTCCTCCTGCTCACATGACACTGGCGCATCATGGCTGCTCACAATCGGCTACCTCAGATAAACTTTAATCAACTGAGCTTGTTTCTCCTCTCTCTTGTTCACAGCATCACTTTGGGTTTTGATTCCATGTTAAAGATGGCGGCCATCTTGGTTTTTGCTGTCAAGTACAGGAGTTACCCCCCTTGATCCATGATATAAAGTCTACAGAAAGATTTAATAGGACTTTACATTTGGGTTTTATTCACAGAGGAAGTCACAATAGGTATCAGTCAAGAAACATCTGATATCAGTGTGTTGTTTATCCAATGCCTATATTTATGACCAAAGCTAGGTCACCTTTGTTTTGTATGGCTTACAGATGTTTTCAAAAAGAATTGTCAAGGCAGCGAACAGTGACCATACCATGCAGTTGTTATTGAAAATGTTAACAGTTGCTTTTAGTTTGGTTTTGTAGTTGTATCCTTTCCACTTTCTGATCCATAAAATATGAAAGTATAATAAATTTCTGTTTTTGGCTTTAGGTTCCAGTACGATGATCCCTAAACCAAAAAATATTTTTAAAAATATGCCGCTTGTTTAACAACACAAACATGTAGCCTTTAGGGATAGGGTCTCATGAAGATTCCAGGTTAGAAATGGTCTTCAGCAACCCATGCTTGCCCTAAGAGGTGACTAATTGGATTGGGTGGTCAGACGTGCTGACTTGGTTGATACATGTCATCATATGCCAAGTGTGTAGATCGATGCTCAACATGTCAATCACTGGATTGTCTGGTCCAGACTTGATTATTTACAGATTGCTATCATGTAGCTGGAATATTGCTGAGTGTGGCGTTAAACAACAAACAAACAAATTCAGGGATAGGCATGTAAAACCTCCATGACATTTTTTACAGAAACTTCTCCATGTATGGCGGCAACCAAAACGACACCATTCCACTGACCAGGTGAGTGACAGTGTGTGCTTAAATGGCACCAACCTCACCCTTGCCCCGCCCCTTGTTCTCCCATTTTTGTGGGTAGGTTAAGGCGCAGTGCTTGCTTCAGGTGTTCCATAAATGGGTTTGTAATCGGCAGCAATATATATATAGCTTGTGTATCTATTTCGTACTCAATGTGTGTAGTGAAGAAATGTGCAGTTGTGTATTTCATCTCAGAAATCAGAATCACTTTCAAGAACTGGCTCTGACGGGTGCCTGAAACAGGTCTTCAGTACTTGTCACCTTAAACCTGATTCAGACTGAAATCATAAGTATTTGTGAGTATAATGCCAGCTTTATCTGGTGATAAGTGCAAGCATACACGCAGCCTACCAGATTGAAGTGTTTGATGCTTTGAAGGAAGTATGACCCTACCCATTTAGAGATTTTGGTCTCTAAAATATCCTACGAAATTCAGCTTTCATATTTAATAGTCTATGATATTTACATGAAATATTGTGTATAAAACATCAAGTAAGTTGATGCATTTCATTTGTGACTGTTGTCTTATATATCCTATATATATATGTATGTATATATATCAGTTTGAATATGCCTTAACTATTTATTATATATGTCTATATTGAGACTGTGGTTTGGGCTAGAGATTGGGATTGGCCATTGCATTTCTTATAAAACTATTGCCCTACAACTGGTGTTTATGATATAATAATAACACCCTATTTTCTTTACACTGTCCTTAACCTTTTGACCTTTTGACGCATGGGGTCAAATTACCAAAGCCTACATACGTTTTCAATTTTTGTTAGAAACTTTACATTTTGAAGCAGAGCGCTAAATATGATGAATATGGTATATATATGATCAGAAGAGAGGGCTGCAAAAGTTGCACAGCTGAATTATAATACAACCACTAACCCAGGAACAGAATTATGCATGTTCATTGTCTTGAACTGTTGGTTGTATACCTAACACTGTTCCTGTTTTCAAAATATGCTTGAAACATATCCTTACCAGCATGATCACTGCAGTGTTGATTGCTCAGTGTTGAAAGTCCACAGTTTGGAGTGACTGATTAATTGCACGGTTTGATGGAGTTCTACTTCCTGTTTGTATCACCTCTCACTTCTTATCACCATGGAAACTGTTAAATATCACCCAATCACTTGATAACAAGCATAAACTAGAGGTTGAAACATATTTGCAAAATTTGTGTGAATATATATACATGTGTTCACATTGTTAATATCTTGCTCAAACTAGCTTCTTTGGATTTAATATCTTTTGAAGTATTAAACTTGAAAATATGATTATGTCAATGCTAGAATATTTCATATCTTGATTACTTGATCAGGTATGTTTTTCAGTGTTATTCCCAAAATAGGTTTAGATAAACTGGCAATATATGGTAGAAAGCAGCAATAGTTCTTTGTATATTGTGTGTATACTTCAAGCAGATATGAAACTGAAACTACACACATGAAACATGTGTTTCATTTGAGTTAAACCAGCACCTTTAAATCTTTGGAACAAGACCGCTTGCTTCAGCTTTTCCTTTCAGAGTTACCTGCCTTTGTATTTAAAATAAGCAGCTTGATTGGTAAAAGTTGGTTTGGGGTTTTGTCTTGAAAAAAGAATTACGTGAAAACTTACAAGTCTACAGCTGTGGATACAGAATGACTTCATTTTGATTCCTGTACAACTAGAATGAATCAGAGTAGCATGACAATGTAGCTTAGATAAGAGATTTACACTTACTGGTTAGGTGTGAACAATCTAATGTTGCAAAATGAATATAATGACCAGTAGAATAGGTCTTCAGCAACCCGGGGGCACGGGTGGCCCAGTTGTCTGAGGCGCCGCGATTCACTGTGCAGAGTTGCGTCCCTTGGCCACGCCAGAAACCTATGATTGTGGGTTCGAATCCCGGTTCGCCCCGATTATGTTTCTAGGTTTGTCAGCACCATAACCATGCTCGTGGGTTTCACCGAAGTGGTAAACGTCTGAGACCTGCATCACTTCGGGCTTTCCTCCCACATTAAGCTGACACGCCGCGATATAACTGGAATACTGTTAAAAGCGGCGTTAAACCCAACTCACTCACTCACTCACTCACTTCAGCAACCCATGCTTGCCGTAAAAGGCGACTATGCTTGTCGTAAGAGGCAACTCCCGGGATCGGGTGGTCAGGCTCGCTGACTTGGTTGATGCATGTCATCGATCCCAATTGCGTTGATGGATGCTCATGATGTAAATCACTGGCAGACTCGATTATTTACAGACCACTGTCATATAGCTGGAATATTGCTGAGTGCGTCGTTAAACAATAAACAAACAAACAAGAATATAATGACAATGGTTTCATCTGCTTTCAGTTTACCCAACCTTCTTTCATTTACAAGAAAGCCTGAACGTTAAGAAACTAGGTGAAATAGGTTTGCAGATGTTTGAGCTTTGAATTCGGCTTTCTGAGTGGTAGAGCTTTTAATCCTGACAGTTGTTGCAGGGAGACTGCTTAGACTGATCTCAGTCAAGTATTATCAAATAACACAGTACTTTTTGTCAAAATACATTTACTAATGGCGATCAACCGACATTGATATTTACTGTAGTTATTTTCCCACAGGCTGAGATAGAGAAATTAGAGACATAGATTTTATTTGTGCTATCTTTCTTGATTTTATATTTATCTCCATCAAACAATTAGAAACAACTATTTTTCATTTTTCCAATTGAAGTTATAAGAAACAGTTGGCATGACTGAATAAATTTCTTTTGTACTCTTTTTATGATTTTCAGTTGGAGTAGAGGTTTAACGTCACGTCCAAGATTATTGCTCTTATATAGCGACGTGCATGTACGTGTGTGTGTTTGTGTGGCTGCTTGTACGAGACTGATGCCGATTTATAGTGCTAGCTCACTGAGATACCATGCCACAGTTTAACATGAATACCCCACTCAGACACAGAATACTGACTCTGAGCCGACCAGTCCCTGTTTTAGCGCCTTAATGCCGATCGCCAGACAGGGTAACAACAAGTACCATCTTTTAAAGTCTTTTGGTAAGATGCAGCCGGGGATCCAACCCCAGACCTTCCGCTCTCCGGGCGGACGCTCTACCACTAGACCACGGAGGGGGCCCATATTCAGTTGAACAGTTACAGTTACGTAACGTTTATCCTAATTCTCCCAAAGTGATAGTTTGTTGTCAGGGTAACACAAGATATCTGCAATCAGAACTGATGCTGTTGCATCTGATGTCAAGATGAGCAGAGATGGGAAGGTTGCATCCATTAGGAGTGACAGAAACACTGGAAAACTGCCAGATGGTTGAAACTGGGGTGCTCCTGGCCTAGATTGTTCAAAACATTAAACTCAGACCTTTGATATGGCTGCTAACTGGTTGTTGATACATACACACGTTACACTCAATCACCGTGCTCAGTTTGTCCGTGTCCACAGATTGTGAACTGTTGTTGGACAGTCCAGGTCATGGTGTTGTTGGACATTTCAGGTCATGTTGTTGTTGGACAATCCAGGTCATGGTGTTGTAGGACAAATAAGGTCATGGTGTTGTTGGACAATCCAGGTCATGGTGTTGTTGTTGGACAATCCAGGTCATGGTGTTGTTGGACAATCCAGGTCATGGTGTTGTTGGACAATCCAGGTCATGGTGTTGTCGGACAAATAAGGTCATGGTGTTGTTGGACAATCCAGGTCATGGTGGTGTTGGACAATCCAGGTCATGGTGTTGTTGGACATTCCAGGTCATGGTGTTGTTGGACAATCCAGGTCATGGTCTTGTTGGACATTCCAGGTCATGGTGTTGTAGGACAATCCAGGTCATGGTGTTGTTGGACATTTCAGGTCATGGTGTTGTTGGACAATCCAGGTCATGGTGTTGTTGGACAATCCAGGTCATGGTGTTGTTGGAAAATCCAGGTCATGGTGTTGTCGGACAAATAAGGTCATGGTGTTGTCGGACAAATAAGGTCATGGTGTTGTTGGAAAATCCAGCTCATGGCATGTTTGTTGAACCAGTTGAGACATGGTCGGTTTGGTTGGAATAATCAGGACATGTCTGTTGGTTTGAAAGTTCAGGTTGTCTGTTAGACTGCACAGGTTTTGTCTGTTCTGATAGTTATGTTAGGTCACATTGTGGACTGTGCAGATCATGCTGTGTCAGAATGAGGATGCATAGCCATGCAGGAGTAATATTTAAATATGGAGAAATAGAACTTTTAGCTAACTTAATTTTCTCTCAAGAACCGAAACACCCCAGAAACACCTTCAGAAAAGCGTATTTCGGTTTATTAAATTTTTTTTACTTTGTACCTTAGGAATTTAAATTTTCATTTAACAAAACTCACCCCCCCCCTATCATATTGCCTGTTTGTCCTGACCCTCTCTCTGGCCTATCTAGCAGTCACATGTCATCTTCCTGTTGTCTGGCTGTGAATCATTCTTGAATGCTGATCGGCGCGCATGGCGCTTTTTGCTTCCTGCAGTATGGATTCCCGGAACGGTGGTGCTGGAAATGCTGGGGGTGCCGGATACCCGGGTGTTGCCAACTCCGGGTACCACGCCTACGATGACCGAGGCCGGCACTCCTCCCACTCCAACGGCTACGGTCAAAATGCGGGCTACCCAGGTAGCAAGGACATGCCTCCCCCTGCCTATGGTGGTAGGCATTCATCCTATCCCCCCACTTATGACTCTGACTATCGCTCTCACCAGAAGCCACAGCCTAATTACCCCATGCGTTACTAATAGTAAGTAACTGTCACTAACGTGTCACTGTGTGTTTCTAACCTCTCTAACTGCCTGTCCTTATTCCTGGCTGCAAGCTGGAAGCACAGAACAGGTGATGGACATTTTTTTTACTGTTGCGTCATCAGTTTTAGTTTATTCATTTGCTTTTTTTTTCTGGCTACTTGCTACTGAAACACTTTTCTAACATCCATGTTGAACTCAATTATTTATTGTGATTTATGTGAAATATTTGTTTTTGATTTTTTTTCAGGAGATTTTTGTTTTTTCAATTTGAATTATATTTAATTTCTAGTATTAATTAGATTGACATTGGAGATACCTGAAGGTTAGATATACATGTGTATCAAACATATAACGTTTGTCAGGCTGGCTAGTGAAGAAACCATAACAAGACAAAGTAATCAGCAGCTACAATGAAATAAAAAAATAATCTTTTTGTCATCACTTTTTTTAAAAACTGTCCAGGTAGGGAGGGTGAATTTTTTAATATTTATTTTATTCCTTTATCAAGTCACAATACATAAAAGTCAACTTGATTCTAAAGCACTGTATGACTACTTTCGGCCAGGTTGTAATGGCTCAAAGTATTGAGACCATTGCTTGTTTCCCTTGTGTATCCGACACACTGCAAAAGGCATGGTGTGTGGAAAAGTCGGAATACAGTAAAAGAATGAAATTTGAGTTGAAAACATTTCTTGAAAATAAACATTTTTTTAGGGCGGGCGCTTGTAATGAGAAACAAGACATTTATTTTGACAAGCTTTATCCGTTTGATACACCAATAAATGGAATCTTGTGAGCACTCGAAATCAGTGCCTACAAAAGGAATCAAGCTTATTTGGGTGTATGACCATTACAGTGGACATGTTGCAACACCTGAAAGATAAATACAATGCTTCAGATGTTTATAGATGTCAATGCTTAACCCTGATTGTCAACCCAGTCATATGAACCTGTGTCCAGAGTTGTCTCCCCACAGTATAGCATCGCCTAAGAGAAACTGGTCAACAAAATTGAAGTGATATAACATGATAATAACTATCTATATTCATGATTTAAATATATATCATGACATATTAAGATTAATTCATTAATGAGTAAAGTCTGAAAACAGTTTGATTTAATTCATTGGGTTATTCAAAATCCTCTATGAATAATTTTGTATTAATATACTAAAAAGTCTCATCTTTGCAGACCTAAAAGAAAATTTGACTTTGGTAGTAACAATAGTTAACAGTGTTTGATGGTACTATACAAAGATGATATGAAAATGATATTTTTTTAAAGTAACACGGTATAATTTGACACACAAAACATTAGTTTAATAACAATGTCTACGTAGGAAAAGAGTGAGGTAAAAATGTTTGAAACCCAGTTGCATGTGTGTTTATTATGTGTGAAGCCTCATATATGCATGAAATATTAATCGTTTTAACTGCTGGTGTTATAAGTTATTCTTTTTATATTCATTATTAACACATGTTAAAGGAAAATATTTTCCTATTTCACTCATCGCAAGTTTGTTTATTTGAAAATAACACAAAGTTCTAATCAAGATATTTTGATCTTTGATGTATTTGTATTGACATATTTACCTTGTTTGAATATTTCTGGAATGTGTTTATTCTTTAATCATTAAAATCTTATTACTGTATGGCTCTCAATATCAGTGCTGATTTTGTTTCTGTCAGTTTATGTTTTGCTTGTGTTTATATTTTCAGCCAACCGAACTGGTAAAGAATTCCATCCTCCAAAATATTGAAGATGTCATAATCTGGTTGCCATAGTTACGGAAATCCAGGCAGACCAGTTCTTAGATACAGCAAGTCGATTCAGTTGCCTTCGTCCATCAACTTTATGCAATGAAGTCCCCATTTTACTGGATGTGACAATCACAGGATTCATCAAAACAACCCTGGTTCAGTTACCATGGTTATGGAGATTATGTCAAAATAATGATGAGAAGTTTGAAAAACACCAGTTGTTAAATTCTACCTTTCCGATGTTATTACCAGAATCGTGCCTCACAACAGTGACCATTTTCATAACTCCTACAACAGCAAGAGACTGAAGAGTGAAGCAGTGCCTCAACATGTCAAGGATTATTTTCTACTCATTTAAACTCAGTACCTTGATGCTTTGTCTATAGCCTTTCATGATTTGGAATATTTACATGATTTCAGAATTTATCGACTCTTTGGAATGTATTTATGACATATTTTATAACCTTCTTTTCTTCAAGGTTTGATTACTTTGTTACAGTTGTCTCTTTTGTCTATTTTCTGAGAGCCCGATGACTCTGTGAGACTTAACTGTGTCTATTAAAATGTTCTCATAGAATAATACAAATTGAGTGACCTCTTGCAGATATCTTACGGCACCACCTATTGGTCCAGAAACACAAGCTTGTGTAATTAAAGGGTTGATCTCTTGCAGATATCTTACGGCACCACCTATTGGTCCAGAAACAGAAGCTTGTGTAATTAAAGGGTTGATCTCCTGCAGATATCTTACGGCACCACCTATTGGTCCAGAAACACAAGCTTGTGTAATTCAAGGGTTGACCTCTTGCAGATATCTTACGGCACCACCTATTGGTCCAGAAACACAAGCTTGTGTAATTAAAGGGTTGATCTCTTGCAGATATCTTACGGCACCACCTATTGGTCCAGAAACACAAGCTTGTGTAATTAAAGGGTTGATCTCTTGCAGATATCTTACGGCACCACCTATTGGTCCAGAAACACAAGCTTGTGTATTTAAGGTGGTTTTGCAGAATTGTTTGGGGCCCATTTCCAGACCAGCTCTGTATGTTGCAATTACTGCTGTTTGAAACCGAGTCATTGCCTTTATGGCACAAGGATAACCTTTAACTGTTAGATCCATATATACAACTCAAAAGAAGTTAAAGAAGACACATTTTTTTCATGTGACAAGAGTTAATCTGTCATGTTACATATAAAATGTTACATGAAATGAGGAGGGTTAGTAAAATATGATTAGTCCTAACACCAGTCTCACCGCCCCCCTCCCTCCCCCTATAATAAATTACCAGTCCCTAATGTTGTAATGCACTCAGTGAACGCTATATGTCAACTTAGACTGCAATGATTCAGATGATAAACCTTTATATTGACGGGCACAGTTCAGGTAGTCGGGCAGTAAGAGTGTTAGTCTGTACCATATCAACAGGTTCAATTCCACGTCAGAGATACTCAATTCCTGGCTTCCTTGCCATTGTATGGCTGCAATAGTGTTTCAATCGATGCAAATCCCTTTCATTCCTCATCATGTGTATAATTCAAAGTATGGTTCATTGTCATAGACAGCCAGACTTGTATTTGTCATATCTTCATTGAAAAAAGTTGTAAATTATCAATAAGTCAGATGTTCTCAAAAACATTTCAAAATATATTTTGCAATATTGACTACCCAGCAGACACTACAGTTTGTATTGTATATTGTCATCAGTTAGCATTGTTTCCCAATACATTACACACATGCCGAACACAGCAGAACATACATAGTTATTATACTGAGTTTGTGTATGACAGTATCCTCCTATACGTAATGCCCTGCTGGTGTTGGGATGTTGCATGACTGCAAGGTTCTCTTAGGATGAAAAAAAAAAATCTTTCTCGGGCACATTTTTCTCAAAACTGAAGCGGGTAGGGATATTTTTGATTTTTGTATTGAAAAGAAAAGTGATAAGAGAGGAACCTCGCCAAAGAGCCCCAACACCACCCCCCACTCCCACCACACACCCCACTCCCACCACCAAGCATACACAACTAGAAACACATTTTACCAATAGTTTATGCAATGAAAATTGTCAAGCAAGTTTGGACAAGGGAGTATGCTTCAGATGATGTGGGGAATTTGAAAATATTTCTTTTTTGGGCAATATAAATTATGTGACATGGGGATGCCCGAGAGAGATCTTCTTGTATTGTTCGCCTTTCAGTACCAGTGCGTGCATGAGGTTGTGAGTGCCATTTATGTACAGATTGAGATAACGTCATAATGATGTTTGGTTGATTTCTCATAGTCCTCACTGTGTTCATGCTTTGTGAATCAGAATAGCTATTTGACCCCAAAGGAGGTCTGTCTCTGTAGTAACTAGATTATTAAATACCTGATTTGACAATTTCTGAAGAATTATTTTGAACCCAAGGAACTGGAACTTTAAGAGTCTGATGATATGTAATGGGGTGTACAGGACAGTATTAGGATATGACGGTAAGGCTGCCTAATTCTGATAATGTTATATGCACAGCCATAAATTACATTTTGTATTAGGGGCACAGGTGGCCCAATCGTCTAAGGTTTGTCAGCACCATACCCGTGCTTCTGGGTTTCAGGTGGTAAACGTCCTGTATCACTTCAGGCTTCCCTCCCTCTAGCCGACATGCAGAGATGCAACGTAAATACTGTAAACAGTAAACCAGCTCACTCAGTAAACATGAAAGAAACGTGCAGGTACGCGTATGTATTGTACATTACTCAAAAGAAGTTAAAGAATACCCGATTTTCGTTAACCAAGAGTAGTATATATCACTTCTCAAATGGCTGTCTCTCATTGGACAAGAGACTCCATCTGTCCTTCAAGTTGCATATCATTGGACAGTGTCTCGTTTCCATGGATACTGAATTAAAGTACCAGTTCTTCTTTTAGGTTCTGTATAGACCTCTTTAGAGCATTTGCTTGCCAACGCTTATTTACATTCTTCATGAAAATATGTTTTGTATTCAAGATGTTCTGCAGTGATTGAATTCTGTTCTATCTGTACCAGTGTTTTACTTTATTCAGCTTTAGATGGTTCAACCTTGACAAACATCTAGACTGCCCGTGTTCACTTTTAGGTTATTTCTTCCTTGTGCGCGTTGTTTTCACACTGGTATTTGCTTTTGTTGGCTTCTCTTTTTTGAAGTGGGTTTACGTTCAGAGTTCTCATGTAATACAGAGAACAAGTATGCATAATGTTTTACTTGCGTCCACTGATACACTGGTTGTGTGGAGTCAGATGGGTGTCAGGCTGGTTCCTTATGTCTTGTAATTAATAAGTTCCTGCATTGTATTCAGAGCGAAGATTGTGGTCCTGCTTGTAAAGCTGTATTATTTATGCTCAGTGTACAGAGTTGCATCCCTTAGCTGTGTCAGGATCCACTGGTCATGAGATTCTCCTCAAATGATCACACTTGTGGATTTCACCGAAGCCTACTTCACTCGAGCACTGAAGCAGTACTCACTGGTACTCTGGTTTCGGGAGACCCGATCACATAGAAAGACATCATCTGACGGTTTCCACTTGTCATTGTGCATCTTTCAACAAGTACAACCAAGCATGGAATAGGGCAACATGTGACACATCCACTTACCAGTGTGCAATTTTATTTTCAGTGTGTTTCTACCACTATCAATGAACACTATACAAACAAATCCAACTGTTTTTTATATACGCCAAGCCTGATAGTGATGGTTATAAATACAAAAATGGTTTCCCTGCCTAAGACAAGTGGTGGTACATGCTCAATGAGTCAATGACCTGTAATTGTTTGCTCAAATACTATTCATATCTTCATGCCCGTATAACTATGAGAATTCTTTTTCTCTCCAGATAACTGAAAGGGGAGTTGTCATGGATAGCATGGTGATTATAGAATGCAGGGGAAATAATGCCTTTTTCCATGTAAAAAACTGAACTTTATTTTTCGCACAACTTTTTCACATGGAAATAGTTGTTCATTAATTTGGAACTTGAGGGTGATAATGGAAGAAACACACTTAGAATCATGAATGACTGATGAGCAATTTGATCCCAATATTGTCCATATTATCCTGGAATCAAATTGCTCTTGATTATGTGTCCAAAATATGTCAAGGTGTACATAGATAGGAGAGAAATTTTGTATGAACATTATGGTGTAAATATATGCAAGTGCCTTAAGTAGGTATGCATTCTAATGACAAAACACAACCGAATTTTGATGTAACATCGACATTCCAGGAATGTTAACATTAAAACAAATCTTTAAAAATTCAAATACCAAAGTTTTTTTTCCACAATCAGACAGGTTTGTTATAAATTGTTTGTTATTCATATTTTAAATAACTTATTTCAATGTCAGACACATGGGAGTTTGTTCTTTGAAACAAAGAACGTCTGTTTTGTTGACATGATGACCTGGTCCATTTTGTTGTTAACATTCCTTTACATCAGGGAGGAAAATGTGTACATAATGGAGAAAGTAAGTTTATTTCCTCATATTGAAATCATGCCCTAATGCTTATTAGCAATGCATTTCATACATTCAAACATCACATCATTTCATTAACAGAGAATCTATTATTCATTTTGGATTATATTGAACTTTCCTTTCTTGCTTAGAAACAAACATCTAAATAACCTGTTCTATTTGGCAATACATTTCTTGTTGTACAGTTCATATAAAGTATACACTGTTATTGTTGTTTCATGTGGTTATTTCTCTTTAGTTTTAATACTCTGTTGAAATTTATCATTTTTTAAATAAATAAAAGTTAAAGTTAGATTTTGAAAATGTTGATGTAAATATTGTTTGAATGTGAACAATATGTGCCTTTAACCTATGGGTGATTGGAGCAGAGTTTCCAAAGCGCAGTTATTGAAAGTTTGCCTCTAACCTAGGGAAATGATCAAGCCAGATGAATTTTGTTCTCCAGATTTAGCATGATTCATAATGGTCATGCCATTTGTAAAGTAGAAAGATGATTTATTATTTTAATAAGTTTTCATAATATATAAATGGATGTGCAGTTTATTTTAAATTTGCTGTGAAATAGTTCGGTTGTTAGAAAATTAGCAGATATTGAAAGATATATTTGGTATGCAACAAAACGATATTTTGATATGATTTACTTTTTGATGGCCCTTGTATAACGTTTAAGGAAGTATGTGATGATTTCGTCAGTATTTTTGCATGCCATGTGTATCATATCAAAGATGTATATTTGTACTGGAAATAAAATATTGTTATATGCTTTTTTTTCTTTTTTAATCAAAAGATACTAAAAACCCTTGATCCCACATACAATGTTTTTTTGTTGTTGTCCAGCACAGTGACAATGTAGACAGCAATATTTCTCATTTTTGTTCGTTTCAACCAACTCTATTTGTTCATGTGATGCAAAGATGCTTGGATGACTTGATTTGTTTGTTCATTGTTCAACTCTACATGTTGATTTTGTTACATGATTTTGATTTGACAATGCATAGACTCGTTAGTACAGCCGAAATATAATTCCAGCCAAGTTCGGCAAGGGTGGAAACTGGACTTTTATAGTCAGTTAACGCCTTGCCTCGGGAAGATGCAATAGTCTGGACCGAACAGACCATGCTGGATGACAGGCAATAACCGAGGTAACAGAACCAACCATCTTGCATCTCACAAGGTACCCAGAGCAGTTAATTGCCCAGAATCACAACCAACGCAGTGCATTTATAATTACACTTTAATACACAAAGATGGACATGGACAAATGATGGAAATATATACACAACTCGCCTGGCTTACAGGAGACCCATTCAACACAGACTAACTCTCTCAATTTCGAGAAAAAGGACATGAGTCAATTTGCTGATTATGTGGAAGCAGCAGCAGCTTTCTTTTTGATCGTAATTGGATTCAGCTAAGGCTGAATCAGGTAGATGTTGATCACCCGTGAGTATATGGAAGGAGCAGATGCAAGCTGAGCGAGTTCCGAGTCGAGAGGCTGTACATCATCAGTGTAATCGGTGTACCATCTCCTCCTTGTTGATCAAGTGGTCAGTCTTGTTGACCAGGTTCATCAGATTGGTCAGGCTGTGAGACCAGTCGTTGAGAATGTCATTCGGGTCCTTTTGGGATGTGAAGTTAACTGTACCTTCTAAACGATCTATCTTAGCAGAAACTGTCTTGTTGACAACTAAGTTAGATAGAAATTCTTCTGTCTCCTGAAACACATAAATTTTGTTCTTTAAAATTTTTTCTAGAATAGAAATGTCATTATTTGATGAATACTACAATTGCTAGTACCAGCTGACTTGTACCTTTTAGTCAATTTCAACATGAATTATCAGTTCACAATCACAAGATCATTTATCAACAATGAACTTTTCTTCAAGACATTATGGGTACATATTCTAAAACAACTTGAAATTATATGACATGTAATGAAAATAACAGTAGTTCGTTTGACAACAATATATTGTAGGAATTTCCTCAGAGGCAATAATTCAACACTTTGCGGTGTTATCAAATTGGGACTAGTGGTCTTGTGGACAGAGCATCTCCGAGGAGTAGGTTGATTCGATCCCCAGCTGCTTTATACCAAAGATGTTAAAGATGTAAAAGTTACCCTGATCAGTATTACGGGGATAAAACAAAGACTTGTTTGACTGGTGTATCCATGTTAAACTGCATGGTATCTAGCACTATAAAACCAGCATTAGTCTGGACTAATACAAGAAGCCACAAACACATGGATGTAAGTCGCCATATCAGTGCAATAATCTTGAACACGTTAAAAGGCCATTTCACCTCACCACATTTCAAATCAGTACATCCTACTCACAGCTTCAGGCTGGTCCAACAATTCAGCCATCCTCTTCATGCCAACTCGTGTGTAATACTTCGCCATAACGCGGATGTTCTGAATACCAAAATCAAGAAACATACATTTGGGAAACTAAATTAAATTCATTCATGCAGAGAGATGACATTGAGCCCACTACTAATCCATGTAGATTCCAATGTATTACAATTATTCACGTCACACCAATTTTCAAATTCACAAAGAAAAAAACCAAAACAGAGTCAAATGACTGATGACTAGTAAATGATCAATTGTTTGCATGCTAATTTCCAAGAATTATCAAACATAAAATAATAGCCTGTAATTGTTTTTTATTATACAAACAATGGATCAATCGCGAGAAATCTCTGGCAATTAGTAAATTTTGAAGTCTACCACTAGAATGTAGAATAAAACAATTGTTATGATCTAGGATGAGATAGTACTAAAACGTACATGCTCTACAACTCGTGTCTTGAGATCCCCCCAGCGTTTCACTCCGCCCTCTTGCTTGGTGTTGAAGACATGAGTGGGAGGGTTCCCTGCCGAGCCTAACTTCAGCTCAGACTCAAATGTGCCACACAAGTCCTTCCAGTTGATCAGCTCAGGGGTGGTGAACAACTTTAGCAGATCCCTAGGAAGAGAAAAGACAGAATTTCGTTGGTTTTCAGAATCTCTTTTTTCTATTTTAATAGTTTTCTCAGCTACTGATACAAAAAGCCATCATAGCCCATCACATCCTCCCTTAAAAAAGGATCTTGCCTAAAACAAAAATGTCTCAATTTACACAACGTTTTGCTAATTCTGGCGATTTCAGAGAAGAGGAAAATATGATCAATGGATATTTTGTGTATCCTGAATGAGCCCTGACATTACAATGATAGTTTTACACAGCACTCATTGTTATTCCAGCCATATAATGACTAACTATAAATAACTGTCAGAGCTAGCCAAACCAGTGGTTGAAATCATGAGCAACAATTCACCAAATCAAGGTACGATGACACAAGATCATCCTGGCCACACACTGTATCACTTAATCCACAATCCTCGGCTCTAGCAACATGCATGGTATACTGGAGACCATTGACACTCCAGGGGACCAGATATACACAGTACTTTGTACTTTATACTCAATATTCATGGGGTTTTTTCAACTGAATCTCCAGGAGCCAACATATGTACAGATGATTGCTATTTCTGTTGTGTTTTTTTCACAAGATAGTAGATCACATTGATCGTGAGTATATATAGAATGCCTCGAATTTGTTTGTCGTTTAACACCGCACTCAGCAATATTCCAGCTATATGACAGTGGTCTGTAAATAATCAAGTCTGGACCAGACAATCCAGTGATTGACATCATGAGCATCGATCTACGAAATTGGAATACAATGACATGCATCAACCAAGTCACCGAGTCTTCCCACCCGATCACATAAGTCACCTCTTACAACAAGCACAGTCACCTCTGACGGCAACCATGGAGTGCATTTTCCCCCAACTATGTCCCCAGAATGAGGAGTGCGTATTAATCCCATGAAATATGGTACTCACTTATATTTGGCAATATCTTCCAGGTTCCTGTCCTCGCTGATTCTGTGTGTGAGATCGGACTGCTCGTTGTCATAGGGGGACAAGATGAGATACAGCACGACACACCGGAGAGCCTGGAAGGGGGAGCCAATAAAGAGTGATGGAAGTATACTGACAAAATATCAATATTTTGGGGGATATTTTTTGGTAGTGAAGACTCAGCACACAATTTCATAAAAAAACACCCCCTCAAAAACAAATATTCATGATGTAACATGTTTTGTTCAGTATATGTCATGACATTTTCATGCCAACAACTTATTTTGAAACTAAATCCAAAATCAATTTCACTAAAATGTAAGGGTGCCATGTTCACTGCATCCTGTTTGTTTTTATATAGTTGATTCATCACTGGAATATTCCAGCTGTATGACGGCGGTATGTAAATAATATAATCTGGATCCGACAATCCAGTGATATATCGATAGCATCGATCTACGCAACTGAGTGTGAGTGAGTATGGTCTTACGCCGCTTCTAGAAATATTCCAGCAATATCACGGTAGGGGACACTAGAAATTACACAGTGTACCCATGTGGGGAATCGAACCTGGCTCTTCGGCTTGATGAGTGAAAGCTTTAACCACTGGGCTACCCCACTGCCACAATTGGGATACAATGACATGCATCAAACAAGTTGACCACCCGATCTCATTAGTTGCCTCTTACATCAAGCATAGTGCAGAATATCTCTGTATTATGCTTGTTTTGTTTGTCGTTTAACACCGCACTCAGCCATATTTCAGCAATTGACCAAGTCTTTGAGCCCAACCATCTGAACCATTCAGTTGCCTCCTATGACTTACCTCCTTCATCTTGTCTTTGCTCTCCTTTACTTCACTGGTGTCATAGATAGCTCGGTAATGTTTACAGATGGACAAGTACGACCCTTCCTGTTCATCCAGCTCAATCATCAGCTGGTAGAACTTCAGCTTCAGGTCCTGTAGACAACATGGTCAATGTCAGAAAATATAAGTCATGACTGATCTTACGTTTTAGAGCACAGTCAGCAATATTCTGCAACATCATAATGATGTAAATAATTTAGTTTGAATTCATAAATCTTATGTAAACTTGCTATTTTGGGACAAGTTTGATCCTGCAAAAGTTTCATGGCAGTGATGATGTACTGGTGAGGTGAAATGGGGCCTAATGTTGTGTTCGAAACTATTACTCTCATGCAGCAACATGAATGCGTGTGTATGTGCACTTGTACTTGTACAGACTTGTCTCTTTCATGTTCATAGTGCTTGCCCACTGAGATACCATGCCACAGTTCAAACATGAATACCATACTTAGACACAGTATACGGACTTGAGCCGTCTTGTCCTTGACTTATTCCCTTAATGCCGAGCGCCAGGCAGGGTAACAATAAGTACCATCTTCTAACATCTTTTAGTACGGCAGCCCAGACATTCCACGGAGGAAGTACAATGTTGAGTTTTCAAATGTGAACACTAAAAGATCATCCTCACAGTTACAAGTAAAAACACACCATCATGAAAGTGACAAAATTGACACCTTGAGCACTCTAATCAATGGAACGACTAGTTTCAATATTTTGAAGCAAAAACAGAAACATGGGCTAATGCTTACAGTGGTCCCATCGTCATCAAAGAATTTGGTGTTGATTTTTTTGCTGATGATCTGAGTGCGAATATAGTCCTTCTTGGCAAGACACAGACGCATCTGCTCCAGAATAAACTCCACCTTCTCTTTCTTATCCATGGAGCCAAACGTCTCCACCTGCAACAATAAAGTCAAGGGTGAAAGGCAAAGGAAAGCGCTGTTTATATAATGCAGTGATTGACAGCAGTGTTAATTCAGTGGTTAACAGCATGAGCACCCATACATGCTCAAATACTCAAGGTCATCTTAGCAATTTAGGGGGCACTTTGATTTAATACCACAACTAAAGAAATATTGGAATTTTAGGCAAACGTATCACAAACATGGATCATCCCACACTTATATCCTCAATTAAGCATGAAATCAAGGGGAGGTTATCACAACACTAACATCAAAAGTTAAAGGTTCAGGTGATTCTCAGATTCCCTTGAAGAATGCCATTTTCAGGGAGTTTTGAGTTCCACCATTACCTGGATGTGTTCTCATACGTACCTGAAGCTCCTGCAGAATATTGGCAGCATCTGCAATCTTCCCAGCATCCTCCTTTATCTTAGCCAAGGTACGAGTCAAGCGAGCCCTCTCGATTTCCACATATATCTGTCAACAGCATCATTCACAAACAATGCCATGAACTCATTAAGATAGATTTTAAACATGTCAATAAAACTGAATAATATTATGAAAGCAGTGATAGCAGATCTCTAACAAAATGCTTCGGCTATGTGAAAGGGGAGACCTGTCCACATGCAGAAATACAATCATTTTGACATGAACACGTCAAAGAGATGCAAGATGGCAGTCCCAGCTAAGTTATTCTAAAGTCACTTCAACTGTGGGACAACAATCTGCAGCAGTCTAGCAGTTAATGATTATCTGACTACACAGTGTCTTAGCTATACACATGCATGGAGGTCAGCGAGCTATCCTTGGGGGGTCTTATCGGGTGTCTATTCTCATCATCAAGGCTTCTAAATTCTTTGTAGGAGCATCTCCCCGAGGCAAGGGCGTTAACTGACTATAAAAGTCCAGTTTCCACTCTTGCTGAACTAGGCTGCAATTATGGAGCTATATTTTGGAAGGACTAACGAGTCTATGCATAGTCCAATCATAATCGCGTAACAAGCGTATAGTTGACAAAGTCATCTATATCCCCCGCCCATTTTAACACGTTATGGTCCCAAACCAGGTAAATGACCCAACATTTCTCTTAGCCCATGTCAAAATAGCTGCAATGGAAATTCTAAAATAAACATTTCTAAAACTCCTTAATATCAAATGGTTCAGTATGCGCTTTATATATAGACATGCAATGGTAAACATGCAAAGTTTTTGTTGGAAAGTATTGAATGGGTTTTGAGTTATGCTCTGGAAACAAACTCTACCCTATAGAAGCCCAACTTGTTGCAATGGAAACGTAAAAAATAAAGATTTATAAAGTTTCTAAATAGCAAAAGGCACCAGTTCAGTATGTGCCTAGTAGACATGCAAAGTTTTGTAAGAAATTATTTAACGTTTTTTTAATTACGCTCGGGAAACGAACAGCACCCTTATAGAACCTAAGTCCAACTTGTTGCCATGGAAACGTAAAAAATAAAAATTTATAAAATTCCTAAATAGCAAAAAGCACCAGTTCAGCATGAGTCTGACAGACATGCAAAGTTTCGTAGAGAAATATTTAACGGATTCTGAGTTATGCTCCGGAAACGATTTCGGGGCGCACACATGCACACACACACACACGGACGGAACCCATTTCTATATCCCCTGCCAACTTCGTTGGGGCGGGGTATAACAAAATGGACATCCGGTTCGTAAACTGCCATGCAGATATTTTCCAAATCTTTTCATGTTTTTAATCAAGGGCTCACATAATTTGATGCACTATGCAAAATAAGACCCGTTTTATCACAATGTAGAGTTTGATTATTGATCAGATCGTCTTGAATGGGCGCTGCCATTTTGTCTGAAGCAAAAGCAAGTGATATGAGAGTTGGCATCTGATTGGTCAATAGGAGGGACATAGAATGGACATTATTTGTAATAGCCACTGGTGGCGCTACGATCGAGCCCTTCATGCATATTTGTATGCAAGCAATGTAATATTTAGAATAGGTTAGTATGCAAATATGCAGCTTATCTGGAGTTCTGTGGTATCTTAATAGCACAAAATTTTTCTTCAACATTGTGCTTTTTTACCCTTGTTACTACTCACCTTGCCAGCTGTGACAGTGCGAAGTGTATCAATAAGCTTCAGCTTTATTTCCAAGTTGGGAGTCTTCTCAACATAGGTGCAGGCTTCCTGTATCATCTTCGTTACTGCCTGATGAGGAAACAATCACATCCACATGATTCAGTGAGTATGGTTTCACCCCATTTTGAACAATTTTTCAATTCTATCACCTGGTATTTTCTCTTAAGCCATGCGGTCAAGGCAGGTGGTTCCCCTGTCTCATAGTGTCTACCATGTGTCCGAGCCAGGTGATAGCAGTTCCCCCGTCTCATAGTGTCTACCATGTGTCCGAGCCAGGTGATAGCAGTTCCCCCGTCTCATAGTGTCTACCATGTGTCCGAGCCAGGTGATAGCAGTTCCCCCGTCTCATAGTGTCTACCATGTGTCCGAGCCAGGTGATAGCAGTCCCCCTGTTTTTTTTTTTTATGTTTACCAGTCTGGTGAAACCCAGGTGCAGGGGTATGGTACTGACAAACCAAGATCAGTAGTGAGTGAGTGAGAGTAGTATGGTTTTACGCTGCTTTTAGCAATTTTCGAGCAATATCACGGCGGGGGACACCAGGAATGGGCTTTACACATTGTACCCATGTGGGGAATCGAACCCGAGCCTTCGGCGTGACGAGCTAACGCTTTAACCACTAGGCTACCCGACCGCCCCACCAAGATCAGGAAGAATTTTCGATTTCGATCCCACAATCATAGGTCTTTGGCACATCAAAGGATGCAATTCTGCATTGTGTGTTGTGCTGCCTTTAACCACCAGGGTACTCGATTCACTTGGAAATGACTCATTTTAATATATCACTCATTCACTACACATAATCGGTAGATTCTTGGAGATGGAATATGATCATAATACCTGCTTCCTTGTATAAGACATACAGAGTATACTACACAAAACAAGTTAAAGAACACCCACATCAACTGGAAGACCGTGTTGCAATACCCACCAGGCATGACAAGATTAACTATTGTCATGTGAAAAAATTGGGTGTTCCTCATCTTCTTTTGAGTGGTATAGATTGAACATGTTGGTAGATTCAATGTTGCTGGCAAAGACAAACTACCTGCTTGATCTGTCCTCGTTTCTTGGTGAGCAGAACGATGTTTTCGTTCAGTGCATCCCAGTTTTTGGCCTCAAATGAAAGTTTGACGACTGCAACAAGGATCCGCCCAGTGGAATGAGTGTCCGATGCCTGGAAACAAAATATACAACTATTTACACAGGAGGATCAAACATGTTAAGTCACTAATGTTCACATTTCTTTCAGACTCTGCACCCATTCATTTTTTTTTTATCCGGGGTAGAATAGGTCTTCAGCAACCCATGCTTGCAATAAAAGGCTACTATGCTTGTCGTAAGGGGCGACTAATGGGATTTGGTGGTCAGGCTTGCTGATTTGGTTGATGCATGTCATCGATCCCATTTGCGTAGATCGATGCTCAAGATATTAATCACTGGATTGTTTGGTCCAGACTCGATTATTTACAGACCGCTGTCATATAGCTGAAATATTGCTGAATGTGGCGTTAGACAACAAACCAACCAACCTTCTGACGTTTATATGTTTGAATAAAGATAAAACTTCAGTCAACTTGGGTGTTTGCAAGACCAGATCAATTAATACATGTATGTAAATACAAAGGATATTGTGTACCTAAATCTTGAGACCTACAGCAAGTACCTGGGTTAGGTTGAGCAATAATAAGGTGGGTACCAGGGTAGAAAATTTGAACATGTCCCCCAAATCGGTATCATCTCTTTCATGGTGAACATCTTCCCGAGGCAAGAGAGTTAACTGACTATAAAAGTCCAGTTTCCACCCTTGCCGAACTAGGCTGGTATTATATGGTTACATTTTGGCTGGGCTAACGAGTCTATGCATAGTTCAATCAAAATCGTGCACCGAAATCGAAATCCGGTGCGTAAAGTGTCATGCAGATTTCGGTCGACTGCAGGATTTGCAAAGCATGTGCAACGCTAACTCGTTGTCAACAGATATTTTCCATATCTTTTCATGTTTTTAATCAAGGTGCTCACGTGATTTGATCCACTTTGCGATGTAAGATCAGAATATAGATCTTGATTATTGATCAGATCGTCTTGACTGGGCGCCACCGTTTTGTTTGAAGCAAATGCAAGTGATATGAGAGGTTGAATCTGATTGGTCAATAGGAGAGGCATAGAAAGGACATTACTCAAAATAGCCACTGGTGGCGCTACGATCGAGTCCAGGAATTCCAGCCTAGTTCGGCAAGGGTGGAAACTGGACTTTCAAAGTCAGTTAACTCTCTTGCCTCGGGAAGATGGGTGAACAATGGTCAGTGGGCATTGTGTTGTTTGTTTCAGCATAAGCCTGACCATGAGTGAGTGAGTTAAAATTTAACGTCACATCGGCAGTATCTCAGCCATATAGTGACGAGCCTGACCATGATAAGTACCCTATTACTACCTGTGATCATGGCAAAGCCTGCCATGGCTACTGGGTGCTAGGAACTCAGGATACGGTGATGTGACCCTGGTAAATGCTACGCGTACTGATTTATTCTGTTCATCTTTCATCACCTGACATTGTAGCCAGGTTAGGCTAGCCTGGACAATGTTATATCTTCAACAGACCAATCATAAATTATAACACATAATCGCAAAGTAGCCAACCAACAAACACAGACTGATAACAAAGTAAACGACATGGTTCATGGCATCAGTTCTTATTGACACAGCTAGGTCAGCGTCTATCTATCCCCTGTCAAACTGGCAACCTACTCTCGTTAGGACTGATATGTGATGAGCACCAGCCTACTGAAATGACATCTGCATTCAATATTACAAACATCTATTTCCCTATGTTTACAAATATTGAAACCATCTGACATGACTTGATAAGCATGTTGATTGAGTTCACAACAGAAATGTACAACAGAAACTTCATAATCATAACATTTTGTTACATGGACATCATCATCATTACATATACTTTGACAGTCTGTCCGGGATAGAACTACCTGTGACATTCAAAAATCAAAATAAGACTTTACTTTCATCATGTTCATTGCACAAATACCATATTTGCCATATTAAGCGCCCTTCTCCAAAAAGCACCATGACTAACTTCTAGACCAATCTGCAAGTTATATTTATTAGCACCACGGTATACACATGGTATAAGACAATGACACACATACATGTACAACCCGTGAAGATTCCGGGGTAGAATAGGTCTTCAGCAACCCATGCTTGCCGTAAAAGGCGACTATGCTTGTCGTAAAAAGCGACTAACGGGTTTTGGCTGGTCAGGCTCGCTGACTTGGTTGATGCATGTCATCGATCCCAATTGCATGGATCGATGCTCATGATATTAATCACTGGATTGTCTGGACCACACTCAATTATTTACAGACCACCGCCATATAGCTGGAATATTGCTGAGTGCGGCGTTAAACAACAAACCAACCAACCAACATACATGTACATTAAAATATTTTTTATAGAAAACATCAGCGCAGAAGGGTTTAAAAATTGCCTAGTGCCACTCTGTACCAAAAGCTTTTAGAGACTTCTATCCTGTACATGGTCCTTGGTATCATTTTCAAGTTGATATTATGGACTATTACCAGCTGAGCTTACTAATCTGAACAGACTTTCACTAGACTTGGGCTTCGAATTAGTGGCTAAAGTTACAGACTGTAGTACTGGTAATAATTATCAAAAAGGTTTTAGTTTCATAGATGTTTGAACTAAGTTTTGTGACTACTGCTTGATCTCTAGAAACAAATGACTTGTTATGTATGGTTTTGATAAGTGCCCCATTTGTCAATTTTTTAAGTGCCCATGGCACTTATTACAACAAGTACTGTAACTGATTAACTGCTTCATCCTACAACATGTACAACAATGTACAACTACAGTTTTGATGAAGATAGGACTGGTAACATGTTTTCCAGTAATTCTACCCCATAGAATGATCATGATTACATTATGTTAACTTTCTATATTGACTATTTGACTGACATAAATTTAAAAGTATTAGTTAATCATTTGCAACAAAAACTTACGGTAACAGTATCTGTCATTTAGCAAGTGTTTATGACATATCTATCATGACAACTTGCAAGAATAATCCCTCCACAATCTTAGCTTCATGTTTGAGTCCATTTTCAGAGTCAAGTTGAGCGTGTTAAGTAAGGGAATAAATGCTACAGATCTCAGTTACCATGGTTACATCCCAAAATGTTGATAAGAGGAAGTTACGCAGGTCAAAAATTAACCATTTCTTAACCTGAAGCATTTACCATGTTTACAAGCCTGAATAGTGACAACAAAATATAATGGCATCCCCAAACATGCTCAACCAGGGCTTTACCTTGACTTACCATTTATTAATTTCTAGGGACCTTAGGCTAAATTTAGTCTTGGTTCTCAGGCACCACCTGATCATCACAAAGTTTGCTGCATGTTTCATTTTCATTTAAAATTTCAATTTTTTAAATTTTTTAAAAAATATTCCATGTCTCTAAAACATGACCCTGGCAGTGAAATGCTACAATTCTTAAAACACAGTTTATTTGGGTACATACCAGTCATCTTCCCGAGACAAGAGAGTTAACTGACTTTAAAAGTCCAGTTTCCACCCTTGCCGAACTAGGCTGGAATTCCTGGGCTCTATCGTAGTGCCATCAGTGGCTATTATGAGTTATATCCCTTCTAAGCCTCTCCTTTAGACCACTCCGATTCCACCTCTCGTATCACTTGCATTTGCTTCAAACAAAACAGTGGCACCCAGTCAAGATGATCTGATCGATAATCAAGGTCTATGGTGTGATAAAACGGGTCTTATGTCGTCCAGCCAAAATTTAACTCCATAATACCAGCTTAGTTCGGCAAGGGTGGAAACTGGACTTTTATAGTCAGTTAACTCCCCTGCCTTGGGAAGATGCATACCAGTCTGAACAACCCCCACCTTCCCGACAAAAAGGCCGCCTGCCTGCACTATATTTTCAGAAGAAACCAATTCTTTTATTTGTTTAAGCCTTACAGGAAATATGAGGTTGTAAAGTAATGAAATGGTGTACTGTACTAAAGGTTTGGTAATTACTTTAATTGCATGACACTAATATTTCATGTCAATAATTTGGAACAATGAATATTATTTGTGTCCCTCGAGATGCAACATATTCGTTTCTCTGCGTCCATGTACTTGATGCACATTTCTATGTGACCTAACACCCTGCTAAACAGAGCTAGCAGCTGGTGCCAACTTGCATTTCTGTTTGGGTGACAATAATGCATTAGATACATGCCATGCATATGCTACAAATTGAATATGCTGAATATGAAGTTGAACAATAAAACTTACAAATTGACAGACGAATAATGGTTTACAGACATGACTTCCATGGCAGACTGTAAATACCTGAATTTGAGTCTTTTTACTTTTGTTTAATGTCGCTGTTGATATATGATAATGAAATGTTTTTTGGTCATCCCTTAAATAGTTTTTCTTTGTTTGACATAATCATGATAATTGCTTTTTGTGTCTTTGTTTGTTTGACGTTTAGCTCCACACTCAGAAATATTCAAGCTATATTATGGTGGTTTTTAAATAATTGAGTCTGGACCAGATTATCCAGTGATTGACATCATGAGCAATGACCTACCCAATTGGGATATGATGACATGCATCAACCAAGTCAGTGGGCCTGGCCACCAAACCCATTAGTTGCCTCTTACAACAAGTATAGGTTGTGAAAACCGCTTATAACCCGGATCTTTACGGGGTGTCCTTTATGTTTAGGCAAAACCATCTATGATCAGCGGATATAATCTAGGATTCCAAACTAAATGCCTTTGTCAAGCAAATTGGGAAAAAACATCATGACATTGTTCAAAATTGTCCTTATTTTTTATTAATTCTGAGAAATTCAAATTGGGATTTCTACTGTTATTTGCTGCAGACTTTAGGCCAACCATTGGCCTCTGAGCAGGTCTAGATAAATCCCTGACGATGTAGTGTTCTAATTCAATCTGTGCTGATTGGTATATGAGTATGGTAATTCAGTGAACCAAAGGTACCAGTCATGCTTGGTATTCTCATCATTCTGGAAAAAACCCATTAGTTTTGTACCAAGCTGTGTCATTATAACTGCTCAAATTCAACATATTGTTGTGAGACGATGCCCACTTCTGTTTGGAGACATTGAGTTTCCCTCAGAATTGCTTTTGTAGCCGAGGTCAAGACGCATGACAGCGGTAGAAAGTAACATTTTTAGCCCACTAGTCCTTATAATGATAACATATAGCAAAACCCTTAAAAATAGCAAATTCTACTTGTCCTTATAATACCTTAACCATGGGGCAGTTTGGCAAGGACTACAGGACTAGTGCCAATTTCTAACACTGCATGAGATGCACCCAGACTGATGATTATCTAGATCAGTATGATCAGAGTATACAATCTGTATTCTGTTCTTCAGGATTGCCATACTATTGCCATAGTAATTAATACTCACTGTTCTGGTTTGTTTTTCCAAAACAAGGAGGATTTCTACAGCTTCACTCAGTTTCCCTTGCTGTCAAAGAGAAGATGCATGAATGAATGACATGATATACATGATTTGGTCTTGGGGTACGTATATTGGAATCGGAGGGACCTATTTGTATAAACGACTTTTGTTTATGTCAGTTATTAGTACAAAATTATATACATGAGGTAAACCTTTGTATTCCCCGAAGTCTAGACAATGACATAATCTTACCAAGTTACAGCACTACACTGAATTAATAAATTACGGGTAAATAATAATGTCTCTGGGGTGCGCGAAAACTGGAGCTCATACATTCTATTCGTCAGAATCATATTATGTTAGAGTTCAAGGTACTTCGGGAGTCTATACAAAGACAATACTTACTTTGACTAACTTTTCACATTTCGGCAACTTTTCATCAACAGTTGAGCTGTAATCTACTTCCATTTTCTGGATGCGGCCTTCGGCCGCAGCCATGGTCTCCGCGTTGTCCGACATGATGATGATAAGGGGAATTCACACTGAACATATATCCTTACAACATATTTCAAGGTCATTTCAAAGGTGGATCACGCTGTAATTATGACAAAACTCCTTGTAGTAAATTGATTATTTATTACAATTTAATATAATTTGTACGACTTGGAAGTACACCCATTCATAGTTAACTCTGTAAATGTCCATTTATACATGAGTGAATATCAAAATCTTTCGCATGTTGAATTAGTTGTAATATAGTAATATCTTGAGTGCACACGCATTTGTCTGGTAAATGCTATCGGCTGCGATACAATCGCACCCAATGGGTCGCTATTACAAGGAAAGACAGAGCTCAGTCAAGGACACTCGGATAACACATAGTGCTGTGAAATCGAGCTCTCTGCGGTGATACGACGGGACATAACTGCTCTGGGGAAAATATACCGGTTTATTTCCGGGTCGCCGTCTCTCAGATCTCATTACATATAGCAGAGCTCACGGTCGACAGTGTAGGTCTAGCAGTTGACAGATGAGGATCTAGACAGCGGCTGAGCATGTATCTCAAGGAATATCGGATATGTATGCCGCTATCAGTGGAAGAGGTATTTATAACACATTTCAGTCTTCGCTCATGTCAAACGTGACAGAATTAGTGTACGTTTGTATATGAGGGTTAAAGAGCATGCATACAGACTTACATCAAATGACAGTCTACAATCACTGCATATGAACTAGCCACTAAGGTAGCAATGGCACTCCAGCCATTGGGAGCGATATTTCTCGTTGCACGACATATACATCAATGACTTGAATTGTGGATTTATGATAATGTCTCATGTATGCAAAATGGTAAAGAATTAATGAATTCATGTATATTCATTTCTACATATCTATATGTTTATCATGTTTATGCTAAAGATAAACATTTGATTAGAACATTATGTTACATGCAAGTGTAACAGTTCTTAGTTGTCCATTTTGATTCAATTTGTTGGCTCATACATGCACACTCAGCTACATAAAAATATTTCTGCAGATGGAATTAAATGTATGAACTATGAAGTGCTATTGTATTTAATTATGTTAAGACTTCTGGTTAATAACTAAACCTCAAATTGTTCCAAGATACCATGATAGTAAATCATTAGCTGAATATATTCATAGAATGCTTTTAATATGTAAAAGGGGCACTAGCTATGCTCTGTCTTATTCCTTGCTATCTGACACTGCATGCCTATAGGCAGGTCAGGTGTAGCGAGTCCCTTTGCTGACTGAGGCAAATGAAAGAGACAGGGGACGGGGCTACTGATGATTTTGATTTTACAAAGTATGCATTGTAATTCAATTCTTCAACATAAACAGGCAAAAAGAATGATAAAGGCTCATCATGCCCTTTTTTTTATATATCCCAGGTGGTTATGGTTGGATGAAAAAAAACCCAGTGGCAACAATGTTGTTTACTGGGGTCAGCTTCGCCTGCTTACCAACAGCTCAATTACCGTGCTATGGTGCTACTGTTGTCGCACGATACCATTACTGTGGCTCACGCTTGATTGCACTCGTATTCATCTCAGGGAGCAGAGAACACCCCTTTTCGATCTTAGGGAGCTGACACGCCTTTCTTAAACAACTGTACTTTTCAATCTTAGGGAACTGACACGTCTTTCCGATCCAACACACCTTCGATCCTTAGGGTTAGCCTGGTTAGGGCTTGGGTTAGCCACAACACTAATCATGCTAAGTGGATCAGACAAAGTGCGCCCTGTAAAGTGTGCTACCCCCAAAACTACCTGCACTAGGCTGCAGTGAAAATGTGTTCAGGTTACAGATTGTGTGGATGATCCCATTTCTGTATTTCTCTGCTTGATATTAAATATGAACATTTGATCTATTTACAGACGTAAAGTGAAACCCCTTTTTTCCATTGCATGATTATTGTATACTATCGACTGTCAGATGCAAATTGACGACAAACCAGCCATTAAGCTTAACATGCTAAATGCACATATACAATTATGTTCGCTTTAGTATAGTGCAAAAACATATTAATTTGCAACAATTAAGTTAATATCATATGGTGATTAAGTCAAACAAGAAACTACCTTTATTTTTCAGGAAACTATATTGCATAGTATTCCGCCATCACCAGTAGAGGACGTAACGTGTACGTGAGATGGCTCTCCTGTCTCGCGTACAAGTGACCACCTAAGAGGGGTCACTCGTATGCGTGACAGTCTGTCGGTGAACCATGGATTTCTGCATCACTAGGCCTTTGTTGTCATCCATGTTTCTAGATTACTGAAAATGAAGAAAGTCTCTGGGCTCCTTTTTATTACAATTTATAGCTATAATTTTACAACTTTTTTTTCTGTAAAATATGTTCATTTCAGAGATTAGATGTTAGATGTTCGTCTAAAGAATTTATTATAGGTATAATTAGTGGCAGCTCTCAGTCCCTCTGATTACCTGACAATGACTGCACAATCACTCAGTAAACATGTCAATTGTCGTGTAATGACAAACGTTTATCCCTCCCTCTAATGTGTGTGTTTTGTCGGATGATGGCGTCATATACAGCAATCAGTGGTTCCCATTTGTCATTTCTCGTTTCTAGGGTAACAATTCAATCTAAGATTGGGTTGTAAATCAAGGTTTGATGTGGTGAATGCTAGAGCTGCAACGAATACACTTTGAGCCGAATACGATTCTTATCACAAATTAAGCGTAACGAATACAAATATTATTTCACGAATACAATAACAAGTGAGCAGTTTATGTATTACCGTATTCAACTTAATATCGCTAACGGCGATATTTGCTAATATATTGGCTGGTGAACTATCCCAATTGGCACCCCTTCTGATTGATCAATGCACACAAGACTTATTTATTCGTGTATAATACACACTCGTGTGTTATATGTACCCATTATAACGGGCAATTCAATTCAATTATGTTTGTCATGTATAATACGCACAGACGTTTCTTTTATATCATTCAGGCTGTCAGCATAAACCACGAAATTAACGATCTTTCAACTCTGTATTTCTTTCACCCAAATTCTAATAAGAGCCCCCTATTTCTAATTTTAGGAGCGCCCTGGGCACTTATTATGTCGAAAATGGTATTTAATATAATCAGTGAAACAATAACAACATAAATTATTTGACATGGTTTGTTAATTATTTATATATTTTACATTTATTTGCTGCACTTATCCAGGTCCTAGTATCTGCTCAAATGCGACAATGACCAGTGACCACAATACTGTCAAATTAAATATTATAAGAGTGTTACCTTTGAAAATATCTATGCATATAATATGTTCTTTAGGTACCGAGTATGTAAAAGCACATGATTGCATATTTATAACTATTCGATTCTAGTGGCAACAAATAACGAATTCAATTCATGAATAGATACTGTTCGATTCACCGAATATGTGAATGAATCGTCACAGCCCACGTGAATGCATTATGTAATATGAACATGGCAGTGCAGCAAGAGAGGAATCAGTTGAGTTGAAAACAGTGACCAAAGGATTAACCGATAATACATTGATTTGTTCATCAGGGTCGTCTTACACGGCAGGTTGTCAACACATGTGGGCATCTTGAAATAGTAGTCATTTGTGTTCACTGAGTTGACCAGTGAGGCTTGACACATACCTGTCTGAAATGAATGGAACAACTTTCCTGATCTGCATTAGCTGAACCCATGAAGATCCGGGGTAGAATACAGCGTTAGAACTTGGCGCTAGTCCTGTAGTCCTTCCAAACTGCCCAATAGTTAAGGTATCATGAGGACTTGTAGAAATTGGCCATTCTTGTGGATTTTGCTTAATGTTAACATTATAAGAACTAGTGGACTAAACATGTTAAAACAGTTAGTTTCAAACGCTGGAATAGGCCTTCAGCAACCCATACTTGCCATAAAAGGCGACTATGCGTTGTAAGAGTCGACTAACGGGATTGGTTGGTCAGGCTCCCTGACTTGGTTGATGCATATCATGGTATCCCAATTGCGTGGATCAATGCTCATGATGTCAATCACTGCATTGTCTGGTCCAGACTCGATTACATGTATCTACATACTGCCATCATATAGCTGGAATATTGCTGAGTGCGGCGTTAAACAACAAACAAACATGATCAGCTGAAAAACAAACGCGAGTCTTTATTCACGCAGTTCCTTATGTTTTTAATATTAGAATGTTACAAAGACAAGTGACATCCAGCAAGTTTCTTTGTATAGCTGTAGATTTATGACATATTGTTCATTTATGTGGGTATTGACGAATACATTCCTCAAGTAAATTAATTGCCTATTATTATATATATAACATTTACCGATTGTAATTATGATGTTTGTATTTTGTTTTCCCTCATTTGCTGTAGAATTGAACAGAATCATTCTACTTCCTGTATGTGGTCTTAGGGAATGTCTTCCATGCTCTTGGAGTCGTTGTTTTCACAATCCTTTTCATTTGTCAGGGTGTAAACACACGACATAAGAAATGTTTAGGTGAACGAATTGGTTTGTGTTACACACAGTTATGGAAATTGAAAAGCCAAATAAACAAGAGATCACCCTGACCAGATGATCTCGTCCTGGACTGTCACAAGTCAAAGTAGTGTCATCAAAAATCGCAAAATGCCAAGCAAAGAGCTTATTGAAACTTCGTCAACATTACTGATATAACCCCGCAAAGTTGCCTACATTTTGGAAATACTTCCAAAGCAAAGTTTATTTCATTTCAGATCAGTTTTCCCAAAGTACTTTGCCAATTATTCCTTCTTGTTCAGCCCAGCATGAGGTGAAAACAAACACTGGCAGTGGTGAATGCGATTTGGAAGACATTGTCACAGGAAAGCTGGATGAGCTGACAACGCACAAAGAAACGTAACGACAATTTCTTTCCACCCAGGCTGATATAAATCACCTATTCAAAATGCATTGACAGGGCATATCAGCCCAGCTTGGGGTTTAATACGGTTCTGGTTATTTAACCCCCAGTAATATGGCCGACCACGTTGGCTCTTTCTCACATGCCTCATAACATTGATAGGTATTTGATTTTTTTTATAAGCACCCCAAATTAAGCCCCCCCCCCCCTCTAAAGCATATCTTCTTGGAGAGTTTTGTTCATGGTATAATAGTTATAGATTAAATTCTTTCAATCTTTTGGAAGTTTTGGAGTAACGAAGTGGGGCGTTGTTTTCTGAAACGTAAGGTCAAAGGAGGCAAAGGCAAAACCTATCAATCTTATTTTTATTTCTGGGTTTTCATACAAGGAAATCACACATGACAATATTGATTTCAGTGTTGATGAAACGTAATTGAACTACAATTTACGTTATTAATCATCTTGTCTAGTTACGTGATGTCTAGTAAGTAGTGTCTTGAGATCCGGGATAGTATAGGTCTTTAGCAACCCATGCTTGCCGTAAAAAGGCAACAATGCTTGTCATATGAGGTGACTTACAGGATTGGGTAGTCAGGCTCACTGACTTGGTTGATGCATGTCATTGTATCCCAATTGCATGGATCGATGCTCATGATGTCAGTCACTGGATTGTCTGGTCCAGACTCGATTATTTAC